AACATCTAGATGGTCCTTTTCAGTGCTTTGGGCTACCATTTGGCGGGGCTCTGGAGACTGCTTCAAGGATTACTTCCGTCCCCAACATTCACAACATTTCTTAAATGTGAAACAGCTGCTTTTCTCACCTTGGATGTTGCAACAAACAGTGAATCTGTGTGTACTTGCTTCAGAAATTTTGGCCATGATAATCTTCCAGATTTTGAGCTGAAATCCTTGTTGGTATTAAGCCTTTGTCTATAATTCAATTATTGGGCACAAGTCTGTTAGAAAAAACTTTCCTGCCTTGCACAGGCCTGTTTAAAAAGCTTTTCTGTCTCATAGAGAAGAGGTAATGCATTCACCTTAAAATCTTTGTGTAGCTATTACAAAAGTGATACCCGAACATGAACATGAGTTAGTATTCTTTGACTGCATGTCTATATTAATACCTGCCTGGCAGTCTCCATTAACACCAACACACTGGGAGTTTGGGAATTGGAAAGATAGCTGTTAATGGTAGTTCAGAGAAGAAACATTTTGAGGATTTTTTTGCAGTGATAGTGCGGATGCTTTTGTTTCCATATACAGAAATACAACGGACAATGCAGGGGAACTAGTTCAGAAAGCATCCAAATTCCATATAGATGCTGTGCTTCCACAGCAGTATGTGGTCACAGTACACACTTCTGGCTTGAATAGAGTAGTATTACCTCTTGGGCACAGACATCTGCCCACAGGAGACTCCAGCTGTTACGTAGGCTACCAAAAGCTCGTCACAGCTATCCTATTTTCTAAATTGGTTCACCACACAATGCCACAAAAAATGTCTATTTCTGTAATGTTATTTTTATTTTAAAATACTACTCCCCAGGCAAAACATGGTATTCTTTAGAGCAAGCATGTAGAGAACATATGTCACAAAACAAAAGTGTAAGAAAATTAAAAACTGCTACAAATGTCAATGTACTTCCACTCAAAAAGGCAAAATGTATGAATTTGCCTTTGCTGCAAGCAAATAATGCAACATGTGTTATATTGGTGGGGGTGAGTTATGTGCAAATTTTACAAAACCAGCAAACATCTTCAGGCTTTGGAGGAAAATGCTGAACTTGATTTTTTTTTTCTTTTTTTTTTTAATGTTTCCAGATTCATTAGGGACAGCCACTGGTGTCTTGAACTTCTGAGATTCCAAACGGTGAAGGGCCTTATAGAAATATGAGCTAAGTTAGGAAAAAACAAGATAGGATCAAGTGATGCTTTTAAACTACAACAGATTCGCAAAATTTATTGTAAGAAAATGCTGTTTTCATGATTGTAGTTTATCTTTCTTGCTGTAAAGCAGCTAATAGATGTTGGGGGAGAAAAAGGTGTATTGTGGGAGGAGAAAGTACTCCAATGATAACTGCTCTTTTTGGTGAAGGATAAAATAAGCTACTAGGTATCATTAAGAAGAAAGTGTATTTAACATTTCCAAGTCAACTTCATATACCTTAGTGAAAAGTGGAACCTGGCTTACTGAAATTTTTGCATGGCTTCCACCACATTACTATCTCAGGTAATTCTTGAGTAACTGAGATTTTTCAGATTGCATTTTATAGTCTTCCCTATGAAAAAGAATAGATTGTTGCCACAGTGAAGTAAACCCTTTTGGAGGCAAACAAGCCTTTGTTAAACCTAATTGATAATGCTAATCTGATCTTCATGTCTCTGTATCTCTTTCCTAAGCATGAATGTTTGTATCTTCAAATAGAAAGCTTACCAAGCTGTTTAAAAAAAAAAAAAAAAGGACCTTCAAAGACAAGTTAGAGTGTTAGAGAAACTTGGATGTGGTGTTAAAATCTCTGCTTTCTGATTGTGTTAGACTTGAAAGTTGAAGATACTGATCTGAAATGAGGAGGAATATTTATTTTAATCATTAATATAAAAGTTTTAAAAGTCTGAGGATCAGTCTTAGTAGCTGGAAAGGGTAAAAAACCCATTGTATTCTGCAAAAGCTTGAGTGTTGTTTTTCTCTAAAAATATGTTTAAGTCTCTTGTTTATAATTTTTTCCTCCTGTTTTTGTTTTGGAGATGACTACTTGTGGTTGGTTTGGCTTTTGTGTTTTTTTCTTGCCCAAATGGGAATATGTATAGAAGCAAGAAACAGAAGTAGTTGAATCCTCAGCAAAGTGATGAAAAATGTATTGTCCTGAAGTGTAGTGATGAAGAGGTAATGGATTTGTTCTTCAGCTTCTGTGTTTTATGGTGATTTTCTTGCTCAATGTATTTTGAACAATAGACTTTAAATTCCTAAAACATTGAGGAAATCAGTGTGGGGATATAGACATACACAGTTCTCTAAATCCATTTTTCTGGATTCTTTGTGCTGGTTTGTGTTTCGTGAGTTAGCAAAATTTGCTGATCTTTTTTGGACCATCCTGACTTTATTTTACTGTGAATTTAGTGGAGAGCAAAGAAGAAAGGATTTTAAGACCAGCTTAAAACACCCATGTATTGACAGTATTTAGTAGCGTGCGTAACTTGTTAGGAATTTGTATTTCGTCTTTTTATAGTGAATAATTAGACTTGGTTTTGGAAAGCAGTTTTTACTAGCAGGTGTGTTTGGGTGCATGAATGAAAGCAATTTCTGCATTTGAGGTTTGCACAATTGCTTTGCTTCCAGTTTATTTTAATTGAAGTTTTCAAGATTTTAAACTCTCACCTGAAGTAGCTGCATAAGGGGCGGAAGGACAGATTTTGGCTGCCTTGGAGTATTTTTTTTCCCGCTATCTGTAATGTGCTTATATATAACTCCCTAAAAATGATTATGGAAACCATGCTAAGACACATGAAAAACAATGAGGTGGCTGATGGCAGCCAGCATGGCTTCACTAAGGGCAAACCATGCCTGATGAATTTGGTGGCCTTCGATGATGGGGCTACAGAATCGATGGACAGGGGCAGAGCAGTTGACATCATTACCTGGCCTTGTGCAAAGCCTTTGACACTGTCCCACACAACATTCTTGTCTCTAAATTGGAGAGACATCAATTTGATGGATGGACCACTCAGTGGATAAAGAATTGGCTGGATGGCCACACGCAAAGAGTCGTAGTCAATGGCTCAGTGTCCAACTGGAGATCAGTAACGAGTGGTGTCTCTTAGGGCTCAGTGTTGGGGTCGACCCTGTTCAGCATCTTCATTGGTGACATTGACGGTGGGATTGATGTGCCCTCAGCAAGTTTGCTGATGACACCAAGCTGTGTGATTTGGTTGATACGCTGGAGGGAAAGAATGCCATCCAGAGGGACCTTGACATGCTTGTGAGGTGGGCTGATGCCAACCTTATGAAGTTTAACCATGCCAAGTGCAAGGTCCTACACCTGGGTCAGAGCAATCCCAGGCACAGCTGCAGGTTGGGCAGAAGTGATTCAGAGCAGCCCTGCGGAGAAGAACTTGGGGTGTCAGTCAATGAGAAACTTAACATGAGCCAATTTCAGTGTGCGCTCGCAGCCAAGAAAACCAACCATATCCTGGGCTGCATCAAAAGGAGCATGACCAGCAGGTCAAAGGAGGTGATCCTGCCCTTCTACTCTGCTCTCATGACACCCCACTTGGAGTGCCATGTATAGAGTTCTGGTGTCCTTAATGTAACGACATGGAGCAAGTCCAGAGGAGCGCCGTGAGGATGATCAGGGGTCTGGAGCACCTTCCGTATGAAGACAGGCTGAGGAAGTTGGGGCTGTTCAGCCTGGAGAAGAGATGCTGTGTGGAGACCTTCCAGTATCTGAAGGGGGCCTATAGGGATGCTGGAGAGGGACTCTTCATTAGGGACTATAGCAACAGGACAAGGGGTAATGGGTTTACATTTAAACAGGGGAAGTTTAGGTGAGATACAAGGAAGAAGTTCTTTTCTGTGAGACTGGTGAAACACTGGAACAGGTTGCCCAAAGTGGTAAATGCCCCACCCCTGGCAGTGTTCAAGGCCAGATTGGACAGAGCCTTGGGTGACATGGACTAGTGTGAGGTGTCCCTGCCGATGGCAGGGGGGTTGGAGCTAGATGATCTTCAGGTCCTTTCCGATGCTAAGCATTCCATGAATCTATGAGTAATAAGTGCTGTGTCACAGTGGTGGCATGCTAAACTTTGGTTTTTGTTCTGTGGATACTGTTGCAAGCAAACAGGGCAAAATGGTTATTCTTTTAGTGTGGGCTGAAGTAATGGCACCTGCATGCATGTGCTCTCAGTTTTCTTTGTATTTGCACAAGTGCTGGTCTGATTCTGCCATTGCCTGAACAAGGTTGTACAGAAAATAATTGTTTTCTGCAAGTTTGCTCCTTAAAATGGCTCATAATGGCTTAAACAAATTCTAGGCCTGGGCAGATTGAAGAAAGATTAGAACTTCACTTTGCAATGACCATTGACTGTCATCTTCTGTAAACTGTAGTGGGAAGCTGTAATAATGCATTTATTTAGATACAGTACTTAACTATTGTTCTCTGTTTGTTTGTTCTGTTTAGTCTTAATGATTTCTTAAGATTTTTTTCTTTTAACCTTCATATTGCTGTGTTAAAGATTCTGCATGCCACTTTTAAATGGCTCTGAAGAAGAAACAGAAGAACTGACAATAAAGTTAGCGAAAGTGCGGATCTGAAAGTTAGGGCCATAGCTGTGCTTTTTTCCTTTTTTATTTTTTCTTTATATAGCTCTTGTTCATAAAAAGATAAGTTGAAAGCTTTAATTTAAAGATACTATACAATGTTTGCAATTTTGAATGAGGACACCAATTAGGTGTTTCGTGTGGTTACAGTAACATAGGTAACTGAGTAGTATTTGGACAGTGTGCACTAGTACTTTGTTTTTTCAGTATGAAAGAATGAAAATATTTAATGATTTGTTGTACATGTATGATTTTGCAATCTGTTTTACCATTGGCAGGGTTAATTGTGCCGTTCAGATACCACCTAAAGATTTATAATTACGTTATCTAGTATTTTCAAGAAATATTGATAGCTTATCTTCATTGTAATTTCTTTAAGGCCCTATTGAATTTGAAGAATGTGACACATCCAGTGCTGTTGAAGGTGAGTTGTTGTAGCATAGTTATTTATGTAAGAATGCTGTGGGTAAGGACCTAAAACTGTGGAATGAGGGGCATTGAGTGTTTTTTAAAGTAGAACTTTAAAGTACTCCAGTAGACTAAAAAAGCAGTTTTCCTTTTGAGAAACTTCAACAAAAATAAGACTTTATGCTCAATAAGCCTAATGGAAAAGGTCAGGAAATTTCAATGTTTCTTACAGAATATACTTTGGCTAGGACCCTGTCTTTGCAGAGGTTTGGATTTGATTCACTTACGACTGTACTGTAACTTAATTTACAAGTGTCTAAACATGGCCTAGTCTCTTTCCATTGTTACCATGTTTTTATACCAAGTTTAATGCAGTGTTATGGTCACAGAGCCTTTCTTTCCTGGCATAGCTTATTTTGCTTAGGGATTGTTTTAAGTGGTTAAGAACTGCTCTATATGCATAAGCTATGTATTTACTTTTAGGACAGAGGAGCTGACAATATAGCTATAGCAGCCGACAACTGTTGTCAACATTGCATCTTAGACGTAAAATTTTCTTTGACTGAAGCAGAGAGGATCCATTTTCAGAAACTATTTTTGTACTCCATTTGTCATTGTTTTGGGCTACATAAGTCCCAGAAAGAAAATAAATCCCAGACTAGCATTTAAAAATAATTTTAGAATATTATTTAGACAATATAATATATGGATGAGTTTAAAAATACCTGTTTTGAAAAGTTTTCAGTTATTTAATATGTAAGAGTGTGCTGCATAATGTATTTCTGTAAAGGGGAATATAATTATTTTTATTTTTTAATGATGTGCTTGAATTGTCAACTTCAGGTTGTTAAATTTTTGAAACCAAATTATTTCCACTATTTTGCTTGAAAGCATGCTGTCAGGAGTATCATGCATCAAAATGAAATTGTAGACTAGTTGGATCAGTCACTTGCACTTAGTCATTTTAGTCTGGCAGTCTACTTTGCTTCAGCAAAAAGATAGGGATAGAAGCAGACGTGAGTGCAACTCTGATACAATCGTTAAATGTATTTTAACTTTAGTACATTAAACGGGTATAAGAGCAACATTTTTCTTTCTTTTTTCTGCACTATAGTTATGTGTCCGGTGCTAAAAATGGGGAAGCAATAATAGAGTTGAGGCATGGTTCCAAACTCAGTAAGAGGAGCTAGCCTGCAAGCTGGCTAGAGCGCTGAGAAATCATAAACTTTGTATCAGCTGGAAAGCAAAGAGACATTCTCTTTCTTTACATGACCAAGACCCTGCTTCTTAAGAAAGACAGGAGCTTGCAACTGCCATAAACATGCAGGGAAATAACAGGGTGTTGAACTGTAGTAGCTGTGGGAGACAGGGTTCAGCTTCTGGTCCAAGTACATAGGCTATTCAGAATTAGCTGGAGCAATAGCTCCTGTTAAGTTTCTGTGAGCAGAGTACCTGTCCTCAAAATTGGTAGTACAGCATTTTTTTTTTTTTTTTTTTTTTTTTTTTTGTAGGGGTGAAGTGACAGTCTGCATACCCAACTTGGAGAGTTGGATGTAAAGTGCAAATTAGTTTTATAAGGAGTTGTTAATGTGTTGAACCATACTTTAATTTACTTTTTGATGGGTGCTACTTAACAAATTGAAATAATTCCCTTAGTTTGGCTCCATATGTGTATGCACTGTTAGATTTTTCTATCGCTTGTGGCAGCATTTGAAATGTATGCTCTTTGGTATGTACCCATGTTTGACACTGCTAAATACACACATATCTCTGATATTTAAATGAAAGCTCTTTGTTCCATAGGGGTAAAACCACGGAAGAGGAAGCCTTTTGGTTTATCAGGAATAATGAAAAAAGAAAAAGATACTGAATCTGTGTAAGTATATTTCCATCCTGAAGCCTTATCCTGTACTTTACTGTACTGGTAAAAGTATAGGTATAAACATTAGTTGTTGCTTAAAAAAAAAAAAAAAAGGGTTTATAGTAGAAGTTTACAATGCTATAAATGTGAAAACATCAGTTATTAAGACTTCTGTAACTAAGGATTTTAAAGAAATAACATAAATGTATTCTCAGTAGTCTGCTAATGTTTCATCCTTTCCTGAGCATAGATTAGTAGTTCTGCCTTGTATTACAGATGTACAGTATAGATGTGCAGATGAACAGTGTGGATAATGTGATCCTCATGTGTGCTCCTAATAAAATAATAACTCCATACATGGAAAAAGTGCTGGGTGCCTGTGTTTGCAGAATTGAAACTTCAGTTATTCTTTTATTAGAAAAAACTTTTGTGTACAGTTTTGAAGGACAGAAAAATACTTCAATGTTTTTTCAGTACATCATGTGCACACTCATTTTTGAAAGTCCATCTCTCTAAGTGATGTTTCAGCTATACCCTTTGCCATATTCATTGCATGTGGTCAGCCTCCCATGAGTTAAAACTCTCCAAAAAGTGACTTTGAATCAAAGTTCTTATAAGATGGACTTATTGCTGTCTGTGTATTAGTAGTTGTGACCACTATGTTCCAGTGTATTTTTTTCGCAATTTCTAGATGTATTATCTCAATAGAAGCATTTGATTTAACATAAAAATAGCCTACAATTTCACAAAGTTAGCAGTACAGAAATATTCTGAGAGGCAATATCTGTTTACATACTTTTAAAAATTACTTTAAAAAAATCTGTTACCAGTTTTATTTTCTAATATAATGCTGAAAAAATAATGACCTAAGAACTGCAGGTGCTAATTATTTGCACATATAAAGTGCCTCGTAACTATTTTTTCTTTTAATGTTTAATTTTGAGAGTGATGCACTTCTAAACCGTGCTTTTTCTTCTCCGTTATGATGCCTTTAGGGCTCTAAACTGTTGGTTTTTAAGTCATTCCTCTCTGTTTCTGCCCTTTCTGTGATTTAGTCTTTCCCCCACCCTCTCTTCCGTACGTTATTAAGCTGGAGTAATTGGTGAGAGAAGAGTTGTATATAGTGTGATTTTGATCAGCAGTAATATGAGAATACTATTTTGTTACAAAGAATTGTTTTTTCTGATGAATGTTTAATTTAAAATAATAAAATACTATAAATATTTTAAGACATCCATGTTTTAAACAGCTTTAGTGCTCTTTCTTAAAGTAATTAATTCTCTCTGGAAAGTTATTTACTATACTTTTTCTGTGATGCTAAACAGCTGTAGTATCAAACAGCAGCAAAAACATACCTTTGATTATTTACCTTTTGTGTATTTTATTTAGTAAATTGCAAAGGAGTGATTTTGATAGTACTGAGTACTATTATATGATTGAACTCTGTAGCTGTCAGCTTCTCTTCAACGAAATAATTGAGTTGCCACCATATGGGTTATTACTTAGGATAATCTCATGTTATGTATGCTATAAGTCTTTTTACAAACCAGGCATCTCTTTCATCCCAGGTCTGTGACTCAATATATCCTTACTCAGAGATCATGTTTTTCTTTGACTTACAACACAAAGAAAATTTTGTTATGCACTGAGGGTGAAAACTGGCTTGTACACAATGTGAAATAGTTTCAGTCTTTATATGCTTACCTATCGTAGGACCTGAATGCTTTTCTTAAATACATTTACAGTTCTAAAATACATTTACAAATACATCTTATTTAACGTTGAAAGGTGGTATTACTGTTTCTCCTCCAAAAATTTGGTTTTCATGGCACAGTGATGTCATGAGAAAATATAAATCAGCTCAGATACTCTGAAATAGAAAAAAAAAATTGCCTTGCTTTCAACCAGTTGGACTGAAATTTGATTTATACTGTTTTGTTTATATATATACAAACAATACAAAAATTAGTAGGTTCTTAGGTCAGAAAGAAAGAAGTATGACAGCATGATATTGACCTGAGATATTGGTCATTTGTGGTGAGACATTTGAACAGATTGCCCAGAGGGAAAATGACATCTTAAGTAACACATGCCACAGGCTTTTATAAAGATTCTTGCATTAATCCATAACTTGTGAATGAACTAAAATATCACAAAGAAACAACAGAGGATTCATTATGTTGCTGGAATGTTACTGTGTCCTAAAATGCATGACCTATTTTTTCAGTCTTAAAAGAAAGATCATACATCTAGTGATGTAAAAGCACATCTGTCTAATACCTGATGTCCTCATTCTCCATTTCACCAGCATCTGCAGTCTATTGAGTTTTCCTTTGTATCTCAAGGATGGATTCTGGGAGGTTCTGTTGGTGCTCTTCTGTATGATACTAGATCTGCCATTACTTTTTGAGATCGATTAGCTCACTAATGTTGAAAATCTTCATTATGGGTTAAATTACTTCCATTGTGGTTTGCCTCACATCTTTCAAATTTCTTTACCTTTATGGACTTCAGACTGTCTTGTCTGCATACACTTTTTTAAACCACATGTCAAGAAATCAGTTTGTTATCTTTTGCGAGAAGTCTAATACTTTCTCTTGGAGCTGTAAAATAGCTTTTAAAGTAGCTTTTTCTGTTGCTGTGAGTTCAGTTTAGCCAGCAGAGGGAGGTAAGATGTAAGTCAGTTATAAACTTGGTTACGTATATTTTCTTTAGTGTGAGGCCTTTTAGAGGATATGGGATCCTTCACCTCACTGTCAATTCCTTAACAGGCAATACTGAATTTCGTATTAATGCTGCCATGGTAGCAAATTTTTGTATATTTTTTTAAATGACGCTGGAGTTTTTATATTTAATATGCTTAGGCTTTCAGAGAAGATGAATTAGATTTAAATACATTTTGGGGGAGAGGTGTCCTCTCTTCTCTATAAGTGCAGGTTTTAGTATATAAAGTCTCTGTTGTTCAGTTACACTGGCATTTCTGACTTTGTCAGGTTGCAAATTAGAGGACTTGTATGCCACTCAAGATTCCCACATTCTGTAAGTGTAATTGCTTCTGCTTTTTGCAGACATCGGGGAGAATCAGTGTTGTTTGTTTGGGTTTTTGTGTTGTTTTTTTTTTAAATACTGCTGCTAAAATCAAAGTTATAGTGGAAAAATATAGTACTTCTGAGTAATGTGCTTGTAATCGCTGCCTTTAAGCTGATGAGGTTTTTGTTTGTTTTAAAAAGTGCTTATTAGGAGGGTACTATTACTGTTTTTTTCATCATCTTCTAGTGCTTAACTGCAACTGTGCTTGACAAACATGGACTAAGAATGAAATTCAAAAAAAGGGAAGCTCCAAATTCCTCTAAGAATAGTCGTAATTTCTTTGGAAACCGGCTATTGCCCAGAATGTTTTGCAGTTGCATGTGGACCATTTCATTAGGATTGGTGACTTCTACTTAATGTGCTCATCTGCCACAGTGTTAATATATATTGATTTAGAATACAGTGGGGCACTCCTGGCTTTGCTTGGTTGGAGTCTTTTAGGTTGGGTTTGGGTTTTTTTCACTGTGACATGAGCTTGAGTTTTTCACCATTTCTTTTGAGTTTTTCTTCTGCAGTGTTTTGAGCATAAACTTTCAGCTTTTATTTAAATCTCACTCAGTTGAATGTGGATTATTTATAGTGAAAATATTAACGGACTCTGACAAGCAAAACAGTCAATTGCAATGTTTCAGATTAATTGAAAATACTAAAGGAAGTACCAGAACTGTATGAATAAAATAATTTGTGCATTTTATAATTGTATATTTTCCTTTTTGTTTGTTTGTTTGTTTCCTAGGGAGTGTCCAGATGCAGACTCAGTTGTAAGTAGACTTCTTTCCAAAACAAATGCGTATGCTAATATTATCAAGCATGGCAATCTGATTAAACTTATGTACTGTCCCTGCAATGCATTATTTATCTGATAGAGGATTTATTGTTTTGATAACATAGCTGAAGTGTTCATTTTGCTCAGTACATAATCTTTAGCAATATATACAAATGTGTCAGTAATACACCTATCCTTCCTAACATTTTAGGTTTTAAACAAGGTGTTTTTACTGCAAGTACTTGCTACTTCATTTTCCAAGTTAATGGTTGGCTAATAGGTTCTAAAAAAAAAAAAGCTTCAGTTTAATGTGCACCCAAATTTGCATTATGATATTCATTTGCTTACTACTGTTTCCTTTGAGAAATCCTTCTAATATCAATGGAGTTCTGCTTTATCACTGGAAATAAGAGTATAGGAATATACTTTTTAAAATATGGCCTTAAATGCAGTATTTCTAGATGCACTTCATTAATGGCCTGGTTTTCCTTGCTGTCAATTTGACCTGTGATACATCTTACAATTTTATTTATTAAATTCAAATAAGTGACAGCTGCAAATTAAATTGGAATGTTAATACTTTACTTTCTCAACTGGGCCTTTTCTTTTTATTTAAACCTGTATGTTGTCTTAAATTAAACCTATCTATAGGAAGATTGCATCTACCTATAGCTATATTAGCTAGTGATTTGTAGAATAATTTCATTGACTTTCTGTAGACTGTTTTTCAGTTCACTTATTTAGATGCCAATTATATTAAACAATATAAGTTTTCATGTTCACCTATTGTGGGGATTTTCTTCTTTACATTTAATACCTGGGAGTTTCGGTACCTAATATTAAATTTTCTTTTAAGAAGTATGGTTTGAATAATCTAGTAGAACCATTTTTCTAAATAAGGAAAATTAAGTTTGGCACAAAATAGAACTACGTGTGTAAGAACAGCCTGTAAGCATCATCAGGAGAGTTATTTTGTCTTGTGCAGAGTCATCTTGACTTGGAGCAAATTTCATTTCTTGGGTGTATTTAAGGTAAAGTAACTTTAGAAATAGGCCTGTAATTATCAGGCTTTTCATGGAAACAGTGTCTTTTGATAGTTCAAGTTGAATCACTGGAGTGAACCACAACTGAGATTGGCTTGCAATGTTTATTTTCCTCTTTGCTTATTTTGGTTTCTACATTTTGTAAAAATAATTAGTTCAAAAAATTTGACTGTAAATGTATTTGACATTCTTTCTGGCCGCATGGGGCAGACCGTATGATCTTCTAAGTTAATTGTTCTGCCTAGATGTAATTTATATTTTGTTAAAAAAAAAAATCAACTTGCATAGTGTTCAGCAACAAAATTAATACTTTTATTGTATTTTTTTTATGCCAAATTTTTTATGACTGCATTTGAATTTAAAATTAGGTCTATCATTTCTTCTTGCTTTTTACAAGTAACAGTATTATTCTGAATGGTACAGTGCTTTTAATAGCAGAAGCCATTAGTTATTCTTGTGAAAAAAACTATGTAGCATGCCATAAATAAGATTCATTTCAAAACTTACAAACAAGCACCCCAGAGTGCTTTATATTTTAAATTTGGTGTCCTCTTTTGGAAGATCCTCTTTCAGATGCTTTTCATTTGGGTCTTATTTTGAGATTCCCTTTCTCTTTAGTTTTCCAAACTTTGTCTAAATAGTTATAGACATCGATATTGTTATTTCTGAGAATTTGGTTTTTATGAATCTTTGCAATAAATTACAAATTTCAGGAAATTAAACTTAGAAAATTGTTACTGAAAAAAAAAATTGAAAGAAGTTATCATTTGTGGTTGATTGATAGAAAGTTATGAGGACCAGTCCTTAGAAAATTCAGGTTGTTTAAAGTTGCTATGATTTTCGCGAGCTTTGGTCACTCACAGAAAAAGTGTCTGGCTTTTGTATTATTAACATGATCTTTTTTTTTAAAGGTGGCTTTTGTTTATTTGTCAAGAATTCTAATTGTGTGAAAGGAATGTAAAAGATAACCACTCTAGAATTATTTATAATGATAAGCACTGATGTAAATATTGAAATTTTAGAATTTAAGGATCCGATAAGAACTGAGTTCAATACTTTTATCTACCAGTTCTACATAATATTATGGATCTTTGAACATGCCGTGTGTAGTCAGTATTATTAGGGCCTTCTCACTAGTCCAAAATGTATAATGCAGTGTGTTCAAACTTGTATTCTCTGTTTCCAGAAGACAAAACAGTGAGATGGCCCTTAAAAATGTCTTTTGTAACAAAATGGATGTTCTCAAATTGATTTGTGGCAAGCCATCTGCTTACGCTCATCCTTTCTGTAACTGCCAGATTGTATACATTGAAAAATGTAATGCATTTGAATCAGTTGTTAATATCTGTCAAATTCTGTAACTGCTGTAAGAGGTTTTTATGTGTAGGAATGCAGCTGTGAACTGAGAACTGGTATTTGTTAAAAAGGTTAACCACTTCAGTAAGCAGTCTCTGTTTAAATATAGATGACAGTATGTGTCTTTAAGTTTTAAAATTCCTGTGTTGCTGTATGTCAGTCTACACATGTAATGTCGATTAAATGAAGCCTTCATAATTAAGAAAAGTAGAAAGTTAACTGTGTGTACACTAGAAAAAAATAGCAACTGAAGTCTAGCTTAGTGTGTTTATTACCTAGAAAGCTTTTCTAAAGGCAGAACCCACTGTCGTTTCCCGCGGGTGTGCCCTGTCTCTATGGCCCATAGGAACATACGAGCCCTATAGAAACTTTTCCTCTAAGGAAGCATTTACAAGGTTCCTCTTATGTCCAGTAAGATCTGAATTTGGATTGCAGCCCTGACCTTGGCTGGGATACTTTTAGATCTGCTTACTTAAAAGATGCACTGCTATACACAACATAGTATATAATTTGGTAACTAGGAGTTTGGAGAAGGGAATAAGAATTAGTCAAATAAATGTAAATGCCTTCGTTAACAACAGATTCATGAATATGTCTGTCTCTCAAAATGATATGTCCTCTATCGTTGTTATAAAGTGTAAATTAGTAAATAAAATTCTGATGTTTCAGAAAACTGAACCATTAATCAGTTCAACTGTTCAAAATATTGAAAACATTATTCTAAAATTACTACTTAACCTGTAACATTTTGGGATACCTTTTTGCTTGCCTTTGACACAATCTATCTTTGTAGATACAAAGGTAAATTCAATATCTCTTCCAGACTATTCTTCTATTGGTTTACACAAAAATATAAATTGATGAAAGCAGAAGGTGTTTTAAGAATTATTATAAATTGATACAAAATTAATCTGAATCATTGACAAAAGTGGAAATACAAAGAGGATGATTTCCGACTCTGTATACACTGTGTAGTCAGGTGTTTTAAATAACACCTATTTAAACTTTAGAAGTGGGGGGAAGTATAAATTTAGTATAAATTAGTATACATTTCTGCACCTTGTTAGAAAAAAAGCCTGCTGAAAAAAAAGGCAAGGAATTTTTCAGTTTCTGTGTTCATAACTTCAGCTGTAAAGCATCCATCTCTGTTAACATGTACATAACTTTGACTTTTAGTCTGAGTTTATGAATACAGGCTACATGGTAAATTGCTATTTCTGTAGAATAGATGAGCCAAATATTTTTTTCAAGATCAGAAATAATTAACATGAAAATATTAAGAAATAAACTTAGTATTTTAAGAACTTTAAGATTTTAGTACTTTCTAAGTATTTACTTTATCCAAGAGATTAGTTAGTAAATTAAAATAATGCAATGAAAATAACTTCTGCAAAGTTCTTTCACAATTTTATGTCAAAATAGTCAAATTTTCCATCTATGTTGTGCATGCTATGTGTGCCCAGTAATAATATCCTTTACGTATATGGCTCAGCTGGAGGAAAAACTAAATGTTGTATATTTAAAGATTTTTGTTGGTTTTCAATTCATCTTAACCATGAATGATCCTGATCTATTTAAAATTGCCCAGTATGACAATTAAAATAATTTCAGAATTCAGAAGTTACAGTATTGTAGGAAAATGTACCTACCCTCTAGCTATGTTTTTGTTCTGTTTACTTTGATGTCAAGTTTCATTAGTGTTTTTTGGTATATAAACAAGGTCAGCCTGAGGTCAAGCATAGCTAAAAACTCTGATTTGAGCAAGTAGAGCTACGATACTGGACCTACTCTTATGATTTTTTCTTTTTTTTTTTAAATTAAAAAACCAAATCAAATAACTGTGCAGTCCGGATCTTACAGCTATTTCAGGAAATTGCATCTGTATGTTCCGTATTTTAAGGTTTGTGCTAAAAAATCAGATCTGGCCTTAGTTTGATGTGCTATTTAGTAGCGTACAGTATTACATCTCCTGTACGGGATTGTATTTCTTACTCTTTTTACTAAAAATATTTGTTTAAATTCATTCTGTTTAATTCAGTAAAATATCAGACGTCTCATTTATGATATTTGCAAAGGAAATAGAGGGAAAAATACCTTTTTTGTTTGTATTTTCTTCTGTAATTCAAAAGCTCTTCAAAGTGACTATCTCTTTAAATTTAATTTCATATTTCAGCTGAAGTGGTTCCTTTCTAGTCCACTTGAAGTTTCAAGTGGAAGTTATTGTATCTTGTGTCCCTAGCACAAGAGGGATGTATACCTGCTCAAGTGGGTCCAGAGGAGGGCCATGAGGGTGCTCATGGCTGTGGGAGTTGGACTTGTTCAGCCTGGAGAAGAGAAGGATTTGGGGAGACCTTAGAGCAGTCTTTCAGTACCTAAAGGGGGCCTACAAGGAATCTGGAGAGGGACTTTTTTCAAGCGCATATAGTAACAGGACAATAGGGAATGGCTTTAAACTGCAAGGGGGTAGATCTAGATTAGACATTGGGAAAAAATTCTTTACTATGAGGTGAGGCACTGACACAGGTTGCCCAGAGAAGTTGTGGCTGCCCCGTTCCTGAAAGTGGTTAAAACCAGGTTGGATGGATCTTTGCGCAACCAGGTCTAGAGAAAGGTGTCCTTGCCTGTGGCAGGGATTAGAACTGCATGATCTTTAAAGTCCCTTTCAACCCAAACCATTCTATGATCTTGTGCCTTATAACAGCAAAGTATACTTTGGTCCTACTGTATATATAATCTCTATTAGCTAAACTACTTCCCAGTACCCAAATTCTAGAACAATAACCTGATTGGTACACTAAAACAAATCACTTTTTTATATGAATCTTGTAACTTTTATGAGAAACTTATAACTGGTGAAATCACTGCATCTTTCAGCCACTTGAGTTGTGAATTTTTGTAATAAACTTACACGGCGTCTGAGCAGTCCCTATGGACTAACTCTGGATACACAGTAATGTGTGGATTTTTCTGTCCTTATTAGCTTAGAAAATCCAGGATGGGTGTAGGAGATATGTAAAAGAAGCTTTAGAATCCAATTTTGAGCACTTGCCATGTAAGTTTCAACCATGCCTTTTAATTATTGTGGATATTCTTTGCTAAAGCAACAGTGCTTACTGTCTTTTCAAGAGGAGAGGAAGTTGCAACTTGTATAATCTAGAATGCTTTTACTCGCGTATTAAAGTGTTGACTAGTACTTAGAAGAGGTTTTGCTCCTGCATTATCAGAGACTAAAGTAACTTAGCTGAGAGAATTAAAAGTAGAAACTGGGAAAATATTTGGTGCAAGAGAATTGTAGGCTTATTTAACACTCGGCGGTAAAGCTAAAATGTTGCTGTTGGTTCCTTTTCATGGAATACCAGTATAAGCAGATGCATTCAAACTTGCCAGTTCTTATGGTAAATTTGGAGGTTGTTTTGTTCTATTCTATTCCTGAAGTATCTTGTGACACTAATTTTGAACTACTTATCATAACTTGAGATAACTATAATAATGAATGGTTAAGAACAATTACTTTAATGAGCTGTTGTAATCAAATTTTAGTTTATCAATCATGTAAATCCAGTCTGATGTAAGAACAACTTGAAGGGTTTTTTCGTTATTTGTCATGATAATATTTTCTGTTCTTGTTTTTAGAACATTCCTGATGTAGATGATGAAGGATACAGCATTAAACCAGAAGCAACCCACGATATCCTTTTTACTGTTATTGTGCTAAGTTATTTGTTATTGCAATTTTTTGGAGACAGGAAACACTGACTAAAGTATTAAGTAAAGGAAGATGAATGACACTTACGCTTATATTCCAACATAAGAAATTTTCATAGTTTTTTCAAAATGTGCAGTTTTCTTAGATTTTGTATGTATGCAGATGTTAAATATTAGATCAGCTGCCTTGAGAACTTTAAGAGAATGGCTTTTGTATGATAGTAGAAAAAAAAATGAACAAAAGCTTTAATGTGAAAATCTTTCTCCCTGAAAAGTTCTGTGACAGTTTATAAAGTAAAGATTGTAAACTTTTTTTAAGTAGAGTGGTTATCTGTTCTATACCTGCACCTTCCCACTTCTTTATAGCACCATTAAAAAGACTGGGAGCTCCAGCAGTCAACAAATAAAATTTCTTTTCCTTAATAAAGTAATTACACCACATGCTGTTTCTAATTGGTGCTTCTAGCTTTTACTGTGTTTTTATTAATGGCTTTGATATGCTGAATAGATTTTTCTCACGAGTTATTATTTATGGAGGCTCATGATTCTTCTTTGCTCTTCCTTCGAAGGAAAAAATTCTTTATATTCTTCTTTTTTCCTCCCATCAGAAACAGAGAGAAGCCCTACCTAAGAGCTGGGAATAATTTCTGTAGATCTAAGCAAGCCTAATATATCAGTAAGATAGCTCATCTTTGAAAATCTGTTCACTGAATTCTGTGGGTACTGCAAATAAAAGGTAAACTTACGCTTTGCAATTACCATAAATTTTGAAAACTTTTAAGCAGTAAACAGCACCTTAAAGTGAACAAGTCCATCATCATAGCTTCTCTGTTTTCATCAGCTTTGCAGAATATGCATCTATTGCCCCCAGTAAAGATACCTGTACCAATAAAAGCAGCTCCTTTTTACAAAATTGATATAAAAGTGACAGAGAAAATGAACAAGAGCCAGCTGCAGTGTGCTCTTGCAGCCCAGGAAGCCAACCGGGCTGCATCAGAAGGAGCGTGACCAGCAGGTCGAAGGAGGTGATCCTGCCCCTCTACTCTGCTCTTGTGAGACCTCACTTGGAGTATTGTGTGCAGTTCTGGTGTCCTCAACATAAAAAGGACATGGAACTGTTGGAACAAGTCCAGAGAAGGGCCACGAGGATGATCGGGGGACTGGAGCACCTCCCGTATGAAGATAGGCTGAGGAAGTTGGGGCTGTTCAGCCTGGAGAAGAGAAGGCTGCGTGGAGACCTCATAGCAGCCTTCCAGAATCTGAAAGGAGCCTATAGGGATGCTGGGGTGGGACTCTTCATCAGGGACTGTAGTGATAGGACAAGGGATAACGGGTTAGAACTTAAAACAGAGGAAGTTTGGATTGGATATAAGGAGGAAATTCTTTCCTGTTAGGGTGGTGAGGCACTGGAATAGGTTGCCAAGGGGTGTTGTGAGTGCTCCATCCCTGGCAGTGTTCAGGACCAGGTTGGATGAAGCCTTGGGTGAGATGGTTTAGTGTGAAGTGTCCCTGCCCATGGCAGGGGGGGTTGGAACTTGATGATCTTAAGGTCCTTTCCAACCCTAACTATTCTACGATTCTATGACTTTTATCTGGTTCTGAGAGGGACATTATTTCATGCTTTGCATATATTTAGGAGAGGGAGAGAGGAGTGAATAAAATTCATGCTTTGTAAGTTATTGATCTGGGCATCCTTTTCTACATTATGCTTTCTGTTGTGAAACAGTAGGAAAAGCGATACACTCGGTGAAAAAGCTTAGTGATTTGCAATCCCTGTCAGCCAGGTACTTCAGCTTCTGAAAATCTTTACCAGATTCAGGAATTCATCAATTCTCTTCCTATTTTTTTCCCTCAGCTTCCAAGAGTGAATATTTGTTCTATTGATTGGAATTCTTCAGATGATTTATTGGAGGAAATTATTTAACCATAATGGAAGTTAGTCTTAATAAGTCCAGTCTTAAGTGTTGGAAGAGCATTTTACAAGAGCTGTCTGATTCATAGGAAATAAATCTTGAAACTTGGTGATAATTTCCAAGACCAGAAATGTTTTGATGAAATGAAAAGTGACTTGTCTTTGAAGCTTACTTTTCTAGGTATGATCCATTTTGGGAGACAGATAAGCTGTAAGATGAAGACATTTGACTTTAGGGTTTCTTTCAGCTGAAATGGATTTGGAATGTCTTTAGGGTTCAGGTTTAATTTTTGTCAGGCAATAGTTTGAAGATATTTAATACAAATGGCTGGTATATTTCCAAGTGAAAATAGCAGAAGCAAGTTTTGGAATGTGTGTGCTTCTCCTAGGTGATACAAGACTTTTAAGTAAAGGAACATTTTCAAATTCTTTTTTGTCAAAACAACTGTATCTTTTAAGACTCAGCATAGGTCTTTCAGAACTTTTCTTCAGTGCAGCTCTTGTGCATATAAAGAACTAAGGCTAAATTCATCTGCATATTTTGATTGAGGGCTGAGTTATCTCAGGTTTGTTTTTTTTTTTTTTTTCAAAGATGATAGTTTTAAGGAACTGACATTCAGTTTGCTGTGCAGCCTTCTGTGTAACTTGCATCCTTTCTTGCAGAAATTTTAGTGTCAGTTTACAGAAGAGGCGAGTAAGCGAGTAATGCTGGCTGCCATTTCCTCTGTTGTTAATGCTTTGTACAGGTACTGTGGGCATTTCACTGCTAACTGAAAAGGCTAGGACTTTCCTTCACATGGTTTAAAAGGATTATTGCATTTTTAGTATGTGTGTTAGAGTCCCTGGTTTTGTCTTAAAAGTCATAAATTTAACATGAAGAACCGTTGCTACTGTAGTTATCTAATTTATACTGATGCCTTCAAATATGCTGATAATTCAGTTTTGAACATAGTTACCTTTTAGAACAGAATACCATTATGAAGATGAATGAAAATTTTAACTCTTGAGTTACGAATTTTGGACATTGGGTGTATTTGAAGTGTCTGTATAACCACAGAAAGAGGTTAGGCAGCATCATTTATCTGTGGTGTTGACATAATATGAGCATTTTGTTGAGTGTAATTATGAAGTGGATTAAGCAGATGAACTTGAAGTATTTCTACCTTAACTGAGAAAAACATTCCAAAGAGAACCATTTCTATTCAAGCAGTGATTCTGATTCTGAAGATGATGAACCCAGAAGGTTCCATGTAGAAATAAAACCTGTCCAGCCAAATAATAGCTCTCAATATACTGTGCCTTCTTTGGATGAATTAAAAGTATCTATAGGGAACATCACTCTTTCTCCAGCAATATCTGTAAGTGGCTTTGTTCCTGGTATTTTTAATGTGCAGAACAGTGGTAAAGAGTCTGTACTATAAACGTATGTCTTACTGTTCAAAATTTATTCTAGGTTAAAGTTCAGTGATTCTGTTTTTTCTTGTGTACTAGGTCATCTTTGGTACACTTTATTGCAGTGTAACATTGAGTAATTCTCCCTTCTGAGATTTTAACTTTCCTTTGAGTCTTGGGTGTGCTCAGTCCTTGTCTTTTTGCTGTTGCCACCCCAAGACATTTGACTACATTGTGGAGTTAGCTGAGCATACTTTTAACATAGTCTACTTATTAGTATTCAGTAATATACAGAACTTTAAAACAGAACATATAATAGAGATACATGTAACATTTACAGTGCAGTTTTATTGATGTATTCTGCCAGTCTACAGAATGATTACCCTTTATATCATGAGATGGTATTACAAATAAATAGTAGTAAAGTATGGTAGTGCAATGTTCAGATCAAGGTAAGAATGGTTCTGATATTAAGAAAATATTGTGCATAATATATATAAATAATAATGATTTTTTTTTTTCCTCACATTTTGAAAGCAGAGACACAGTCCTGTAAGTACAGTATGACTCTTTATTCACGTTTTTAAATTAAACCCAAGTAGGTGTAATATGTGAGGGGAGTCACTGGGAGAACGTTAGGAATGTTTCTTTTCATATATACCATGTGATATATAAGCTGTTTAATTTTACTGTCCCAGCCTGTAAAGGGATTTAGTAATACAGCTCCCTTTGGCAGCTCCCCAGTGTTAATTCCTGGCTTGCCTTACTGGTGTGGCAGGTGTGCACTGGTTGCTCTGTCTTGACTTATGTTCTGGTCCTCTGCAAGCTGAGAATGTTTTGCCTGGCACTGAAAGCAAAGTGTCTCATAGAAAGTTAGTGGAAATAAGAACCCTGGGACAATAGACTATTTGATTTGACAGTAAAAGAATTTATTCCTAATTTTTTTTTTCCTGTTTCAGGCACAAATGAATCAAAATTTATCCAGTAAGTATGAATCTTTAACTTTTAGTCTATTTATGTTAGTTTTTTAACATAACATCAAAATAGATTTTTTAATTGTTGAAGAAATAAACTTCTTAAATATCTGTGTATTAAATAAAAAGAAGTCTCATGTCAGTTCTAGATACCTGTTCTTTTCCAATATACTTGGGTGTTCCCTATTCTGATAAACAGGTGAGTTTGGCTGTGACAGTGATAGGGGACATATCCAAGAGCCAAAGGGAGGACTCTGTGGAAAAGGCTACTGTGGAAGTTCTTAAAACCCTTCTACCCACTCAAGTTTAGTATGATCCAAAAACTAGCAAAGCACTCTCTCTCTGTTTTATAGTCAAACACATAAAAGGTGGCTCTGGAGACAGAGGACAGAGCATTAGTCTCTATGCTGTAGGGTTTCTTCCAGTGGGAAATCAAGCCAGATTTGCTGAAGAATTATATTGAAGTAAGCGGTATAATTCAAGAAAGACATTTCAAGTGAAAAACACTTCCTCCAGAAATGCATTGCTTTGTGTAGTCCTCTCTTATTGGAATGTATTTCAGGACTACCTGAATTTGTATTATGAAAAAAAAACGCATTTTCTCTTTGTCACTTTAAAAATTCATAATTAGTTTTGAACTGCAACTGTTAATTATAGAATTAACTAGGTTGTAAAAGACATTTAAGATCAAGTCCAACTGTTACACCAGGACTTCCAAGTCCACAACTAAGCCATGTCACTGAGGGCATCTACACTGTTTTTGAACATTTCCAGAGATTCCACCACTTCCCTGGGAGGCCTGTTCCAATGCCTTACCACCCTTCCAGTGAAGAAGTCTTTTTAATGGTTATATTCTCTATCTTCTTACCATGAAACTGTTTGTTTTAGATTGTCACAGCTTTGGCAATAATACTGTGTCTTTTGTTTAGGTGAAGAATTAACAAAATCAAAGCTTTCTGCTCCAACTAATGAGTAAGTTCACATTTAAAATTCTGTCAGAAACAGTTTCATGAGAATTTGGTCTTATTTTGATACAATACTCAGAAATTCATTGGAAATATCCTCTGACTGCTGTTTTAATTCAGGCATCTGTTGCATCAGAAGGAGTAAATTATGTAACAGTGGAGGTTTCTATTAATTTGTTTCCCCTTTCTAATGTACTTGCTTCATTGTCATCCGTCTGAATTGTTACTTATAATGACATGATTGCAAAATACTGGGTTTTATTAAAATCTTAGGTTTTAAATAAGACAGCTTTAGTTTTTATCCTATAGTATTCCATGGTAAAGTGTTTAAGATTACAAGCCCCATATTTGGACAGGTCTGTATACATTGTTTATAAATGTATATACAGAAATACTTGAATGTCTCTTTAAAAATTATAATCCTTTAACGGACATTATTAAGTACGTCCACACACAAAATTGCATCAAGGTGTCAGTTCAGTTAGTCTCCTTATCAGTTCCTCGACCTGCCGTTTGTAAGTACGTCTTATTTTTGTATGCAAAGACTAACTGATGATGAAGAATTTGTCACATTTATCATGTTTATTATATTATCAAACTACTAGCAAAGTTGTATTTGATATTTATTAATATCTACATCTTTCATTTATATTCCAATTGTAACTCCTAATATAGAAAGATGAACAGTGACCTCCTGGCATGGGACCCACTTTTCAGCAGTTCTCTTGAATCTTCCTCTTCAGCTTCCTTGGCATCCTCATCCTCCTCAGGTAAAATATTTTATAGTAGAAAACATTTTGTCTATATACATCAAGGTGTTCTGTTGTTGCTTTTTTAGTTATTGCAAGGGGACATGCTTAGACTATTGAAAGAATTTTGTAAAGCAGTATACTTTTATTTTCAGTCTACCTTCTGTGTGTCTGTTTTCCAGCCTTTCCTGTCTTAATGTAGAGACTCCTCCCACATGCCTGAGAAAGGAATTGTTCACTGTTTCTTTTAACTGTGTGTTTATATACCAAAAATTATAATAGACCTCCCTTTGTTCACAGTCATGGCTTTCTAGCTGTTTTCCTCTATACATGTATCAATAGGGGAATTCTGCAAAACTAAAGTTAATTCTTCTCAGCCTTAGTAATGTCCTTTTAGCAGCAAACAGTATTGCTGTGTAACCCTTCAGATTTTAAGTAGAACTTACTCGTTCATTATAAATTTGTGTTCCTTTAAATTTTTATTTTTAACAAATCTAGCTTTTGAAAATCATCAGATTTAGGTAACCAGTCATTTCCAATCTATAGCATATTTAAGGATAAATTATACAGAAACTTGTATTACTTGAATATGCTGAAAAGAAGTTGTACTTTCCCAAAAGCTGTTTTACTAGCTTTTGGTCTCATGTTAAGAGTCTGCAGAACAAGGCCAATGACACAATTTGGCCTTGTGTCATTGGCCAAATTGTGGTTGTTACTGTATCCAGTTGTTCGTGGCCGGAAATTCAAAGCAGGAAAAAATTAGGAGATGCTGGTACAGTCCTTCCTCTGCACAGTTCTGCTGCCTTCCTACCAGCAGAACTGTGGAGAAAGTGGTCTCTAGTTTATGAGTAATGACAGGTAATTGGGATCTGTAACACTCTGAAGCCACATCTTGGGGGAGTCACCTACCCAAGCCATCATATGTGAAAAAGGCTTATGCACAGACCCCTACATTTACTTGAAATTGGTGGAATATATCCTGTGAGAAAGCTGGTATCAGGCATCTGTGCTTTGGCAAACTTTATCTGCTAAATAATTATTTAAAGGATTGTTGTTCTAGGAGTTAACTAAGATATTTACACTTGTGAAATGATCCATGGAGTTAAGTAGAAAGTAAGTGTCCAAACGTATAACAAATTACTAATATGTTCTGGGGGGAAAAAAATACTGGATTGATGTAGTTTATATTGTTGTTTAAATCAAGTTCTGATGCTCACTAACCTGCACCTTATTTCTAAAAAATTGAAAAAAAATGCTTTGATCTGATTGTATTTTCTAGAAATCAGTGTTTTATCTTCAACTTGAAGGTTAATATAGATAAATTGATGCTTAAAGCTTTGAAAAATCTCCATCAAAATTTTAAATTACATGAATTAGTTGTTCTGTATGCAGCCTATCTGTGTATCCTGGTGTAGCATGTCTCACAGATTATTGTTCTCTTTTTACTGTTGAAACATTTCTTTAGCTATTCTTTTGTAACTCTGTGTTAATCATTGAACACTTAAACTGCCCCATGGTATTTGAGCAGACAGTGGTTTATGCAGCGCAGAAGTAAACTTTGGTCATCCATGAATAGTCCTGCTTTATTAGAAGTTTAAGCTAACTTTGTTATCTTGAACAAACAAAACAGACATTTTTTTAGCCAGCTATTGATATGGTAAGATTGGTTCTTTTTATTTATCTTCCTCATTTTCATCCATATGTATTTTTAAAATAGTTTTGAACATTTTCACATTGGTTTTGGAATAGGTTTTTTAGTAGTACTTTAAAGCCCTTGAGTAATATTTAAAATATTTATTAGAAGAGGAAAGCCGTGTTTATGTTGGCTTAGATTATGCACTTGTTCATAGCAAAAGGGCCACTGTAAAGAGGACACCTATACTTTTTATCTGAACTTCTAAACATGTTGCTGGTTTTTGATTCTGTATGTCACTCTGCCATTGCTCCTAGCTTTGCCAATCTGCAAGATGTTGAGAACTGACTAACCTTTGCTTTTTATGCTTCTTTTGTCATCTACTGCGACAGGCAACAGCCAAATGCAGGGAATACTTGTGGAAAACTCCTGTTTTCCAACAGCCTGAAGACTATAGGATGAGAGAGGAAATAAACTGGTGTGGATCATGCCTTATACATATAGTAACTCACTAGATACAGGTTGATACAGATAGAATATCAAACAGGATCTCATGACTGCATTGTCTGCACTCATTCACTGGACAGCCATTTATGTTGGGCCTTCACATTACAAATATTAAGGGTAAGAAGATAATGTTTTGAAGGAACAGGATAAAATAGTTTTGATTAAATAACTTTGAAATAAATGAAAAGAAGAAAGCTAGAGTAGGACACCAGAACAAAAACACAAAGATGAGTGGAAGTTAAAGCATGACAGGGATGAAGTTGGAGGAATAAGGAAAGTAGGGACTTAAGTGCAGAGAAACACATATTACTTTTTGGCTCACTTAAAAAATGGGAAGTGACGTGGTTGGCAGTATGAATGAAGTACATGTGGTATGTGGCTGGGGTTTTTTTCTTTTATTTGTTAAGTGGGATTTTTAGCCTAGTAGAGCAGTTATTTTTTGTGCTGGCTAGTCTCATGCAGTGGATGTTGAATACTTTTTTGAATATTGACATTTTTATCTTTTCAATGTTGGTCCTAGTTTCAATTCTTCCCTTTTCCTTCAGCTACACTAAGAGAGCACAGTAGGAGCTCCTCCTCATCTACCACTGATTTGCCTGGGTGTAGAGTATGTCAGTCTTTGCTTGGACACCAGACAGATTCTGGGTCTGCAACCCCATCCTCACCAGACTTTAGCATTGGCATTTTGTGCAAATCTGGTGTTACAGCAGCGCCATCAGAGAGTACCAGTACTTCATGGTCTCAGAGTCAGTGGATTTCCTTTGCTGATGAACTTCTTACAATTAGACACACAAATGCAGACAAGAAGGAACCCCAAAGATTGCATTTTAAAACTGAAAGTGCCTGCGTTGCCTCTTCTGCTTTGCTTGGGACTTCTTCCAACAGCTGTGCTTCTGAGGATCAAAGTGACCTTTTCAATAATGCTCTATGCCGTGAACAATTATTCATTGAAGAAACTGTCACTGCTGCTGAAATTTCTTCCACATCATCTTCAGCACTACTGGACTGTAGTTTAGTGTCTTCTTGTGGTCATACAAATAAGGGTATGGCAAGCATGCATCGTGTACTGCTCTTTGCTAATAACTGACTCCAGAAAGCAAGCTTTGGACTCATTTTTCTTTTTGTTATTATTGTTAACCTGACGTTAAAATTAACTCATCTTCTTACTTAGAATGTACTAAACTGCTTGTTAGCACCAGCATCTGTGATAGTTAGAACAATGAAGTAAATATTCAGCTTGAAATAAGAAGATTTCAAATTATTCAATTAAAGGCATTGCTTTCTCTTAACTATGCAGAGCTTTACTTTTCTAGAAATAGGAATGTATTTTTGTGGGATGTCAGACAGCAGATCTCAAAGATTAAGTGATTGATTTTGCAAAAACAATTCCATTCCTAAGTAGCTTTGTATAGATTAGATTTCAGATTAAATAAGTTGAATTTAAAACTGTTCCTTTTCAACACCCCATATTTTGAAGTGTGGATGGTATCATGGTAATGCTACGTACTAAGAGGGCAAAGGAAAAGCGCATATGGGCAAGTGTGCCATGACTCACTGAATACACCTGTAGTAATGCAGCAGACTACTTAGTGTTTAGCATGCACTGTCATCTTGGAGCATAATAAGAATTTTAAAGGAATTATGGGTATTTTAGAAATTACTTATTTTGGGAACATTTGAGTTTGCAACGCTTAAGATGAATGAGATCAGTATTAGCCTAAGTTCTTTCTTCCCAAGTAAGTGATGAAACTCCCATATTTAAGTGAAAAACCTCCATATTTAAAGTTGTATTTTAAATATCATTAACTGATTTAATTAAGTGTCATCCAGAATAATCTGAGGAAGATAGTAGAATGTGCTGCAACAGCATAGTTGTACATACATTAACATTTCAGTCTATTTTGAAGTTAATTTTACATCTGGCATATTTATTGGATGGCATCTAACATTTTGAAATATAATTCTATTCAGAAAAGTGACTTTGTAAAAGTGGCATCTTTGTACTGCTGCCACCATCTGTGAGTTGTTTCTGTTAGGTTTAGAAGAACATGGGACAGCTTCTACTAGAAACATAACTTCCAGTTATTCAATTCAAATGAGTACATATTAATGTTCAGTGTGATCTTTCTAATATTTATTTCCTTAAATTTGCTTTCTTTCAGCAAGGCCCACAACTCCTCTTTCTATAGGCACCATTGTACCCCCTCCAAGGCCAGCTTCAAGACCAAAGCTGTCTACCGGGAAACTTAGTGGGATTAATGAAATAGTATGTATTAATTGGGATTTTTTAACTTTCCATTGTAACTTGATGTCAGAGATACCATTCATTTATGCCGTTACAGTGGAGCTGTTTTGCGGCTAATGTTCAAGTATTCAAGCAGATTTTCAGCATTGCCAGACAGGCATGGATGTTGTTTGTCATAATAACGTTACTGTAACAAAATAATTCTTAAAAGAACTACAGAGGTCTAAAACATAATTTTTGCATCAGCTGAATGTTTTTAATTGAATAAATCAGTAATTTAATGAAAGGCTAGCGTGCGTGTAAAATGGAAGTTCTCAAAATGTTAAATACTATTGAAGTTATTAACAATGCTCCATTGATTTAGGGATATACCCAAAGCTTTGGGGAATGAATGGTATTAAATGGATCTTTATCAAGTCATGTGTTGACACAAGTAACCCTGCTGTGACTTCTCCCTACCCTTTGTGTTGGTTGGTAGAGAAGGTAGGTGCAGCAGCTGCCCATCAGGGATAGCGAGAGGTTGCACACTGCTCACTGCCTGCAGTGTGGGTCCACCTGCTGATAAGGAACGTGGCAAAGACTGCAAACAACCAGACAACGTATCACACTAAGCCACACTTAATCTTCTCTGTGGATTCTTTAAGTTTCATTTGACTTCAAGACCAGGTTGGATGAGGGCTTGGGTGATACGGTTTAGTGTGAGGTGTCCCTGCCCATGGCAGGGGGGTTGGAACTAGATGATCTTAAGGTCCTTTCCAACCCTAACTGTTCTATGATTCTATGACTTACTGACTTGGAAAAAGGTTACCGTGGTTAAGATCCTCTTACTGTCTTTCAAAGTAGCAAGTATTTTCATCATACTCTTGTTATGGGCAAAATTATGGTCTTATGCTTTGACAAAACTAAGATATTTTTGAACTGTTTTGCATTTCTGTAAAGTCAGAATAGGATTAATTTTGACATTCTTATACCAATATAAAACTGTAGTAATTGCTCTTAGACTGAGTACTCTGTTCTTTATGTTGTAATTAAATAGAAGAATTCAGCTACTACTGTTCTACTATGAAGTATGATTCTGCACAAAGCTACATTCTTTTTATATTGCTGTTTTAGAAATTGGCATTATCTGGATACAGGTGGAAGATTGTCAGTTCTTTTCATTATATATAAACTCCTTTTACAATTTCCATAATCTGCATAAAAGTCACATAACCAGCAACAACTGTGATAGAACTAAAAAATAAACAGCCAAAATAGATGCTTCAAGGGTTCCAGTACCTTCTAGATAGGTTAATCCCAAAATAATCATTAATTAGCTTAATACCTTAACAGTTAACCAAGTCATAAAAACTTCTACAGATTAAGGATGGAAGGAACGTTTTAAGATCTCTAGGCCAGCCTCCTGCATAAAAAAGGGCTGACTTCAAAATTGCATCATGTTGCTCAGGGACATGCTGAGTTTTGAAAATCTCTGGAAAGGAAAATTTTACAATCTCTTTGGGCAAGCCTGTCCCAGGGTTTAACCATGAGGGTACAAGAAGAAATGTTTTTGCCAAGTTCAGCTGAAATTTCCTTTGCTGTAGCTCTTGCATCTCTGAGAAGAACCTGATGCCGCCTTCTTTGTAAACCCTTTTAGCAAGTGAAAGACTGCTTCTAGATCTCTCCTTAGGCTTCTGTGCTCCAGGCTGAACAAACCCAGGTTCTTCAGCTTATCTCCCTCTCATGTACTTCAGTTCCAGCTATTTTATTTGGCTTCTGCTGGACTCACTTCCAGTATGTTAGTAGCTCTCCTTCAGCTCTATAAATCCACATTTGCTGCACACATACACAAGGCTGTAGGTTTAGGTTCTGCTACTGTGTTACTGCACAATTATTGACAGGCTTCTACATAATCAAATGTATTAGGTTTAACTACCCAGGCAAAAACTTCATAATGGTAATCTATGAAATAATGGAATTGATTATAATGGGAAATGTGGTTTCTCGGATTTACACAAAATATTAGGGTAGATAAAGCATTAAAGAAGCTATGCTGTGAAACACTGTGAAACTGATTGGGGAATGAAATGAAGACCTCTTCTATTTACAGTCTTTTCTTTCATCATTTTAGAATCACTTTGTGTAATGCTCTTGTAATCTCTTTTCTTCAGCCTAGGCCATTCAGCCCTCCACTGACCTCTAACTCCAGTCCACCTCCTGCAGCTCCCTTGGCACGTGCTGAAAGCATTTCCTCCATATCCTCTTCTGCTTCTCTCAGTGCAGCAAACACACCTACAGTTGGTAAGTTAAATTAACGATTTTAACTTATTTTAGAAATAGCATAATTCTGCCACTAGGTTCCATCTGTTAGGAAAGCCACTCATTGGAGTTAGGTGTTCCGTATGTGAGTCCAGTCCAGGTACTTCAAGCATCCTTGCAATGCCTGCATCTAAATGGCACTGACAGGGGATTTAATTGGATTAGACCATACATCCAATTACGGCATGTTCTTTAAGGAAATATTTTTCAAAATTAATATTCTGAGTTCTTATTTTGTATGCTTATACATTCATTCATCCAGCACAACATGTTATCATATATTTGTTCAGAAGATTATATGTAAGTTATGTAAGTACATAAGAAGATGATTATATAAGTGCAGACATATTTTGGGAACTGAAAAGTTTGAATGAACATAAATGTTTACAAAATTTAGTTATGTTCTTTTGTTGTTGTTATCCTGTAATTGCATTTTCCAAATAATGAAAGTAATGCGTCTTTTTCTTCAAGTTAGTGAAGTATGTAAGCTAAAGAGGTGTTTAGTAAAAGCAAAAAATCCAGAAAAAGATGACGATGAAAAGCAAATTAGTTTTCATGTGTTGCCACTAATTTCAGAAGGTTTTCTCATATTTTTAAATGAAAGTCCTTTAGATTTGATATTTGGGTATAACAAATGAAACGGAGGCTTATTAGGGGATAGTTTTTGTGTGGTCGGTTTCGCTTTTTTAAAGACATTTGTTTCTGTAGCAGAATTGAAATGTTTTAGTCCTGATTATATTACCACTTCAGTCCCAAGCCAAATCAGATTTTTGAGTTAGCAGTTATCTGTGAATGTTACTGGTGCCAAGGATTCCTCACCCCCAGGCTCAGCAGCTCAGGAGAGCACCTCACAGCTTCTAGTGGGAGTCGTGCCAGTTCTGCGCTGAAAATAGTGCAACTGTTTCCAACTGTGCAAGGCAAAAGCTAATAAGGTTTGCTTAGCCTTAGCTGCTACAATTTAGTGTCCACCAGTTTCCCAAATGCTGAGAAGCATCATAGAAACATAGGTTGCCAAAGTTCATCCAGGCTCACATCCTTAGGCCTCAGCACCAAGGAACCCAAAGTTGGTGGCAGCAGCATCAATAGCCCCAGCTGTGAGTGTGTGTGTTATTGGAGACAGTGACAGAGTGACCTTCATGAGGTGAAGGAGAAGGTAAGGAGGTGTGTGCTGACACTGAGGTTTGACAGGTTTATTCACTGGGCCTAGAAAAAGTAAACAAGGACAGTTCTGTCTGCATTGACTGTAATAACTAGTCCTGAAGAGCTGGGAAGGACAGTGCAGATAGCTGAAAGACTATGGGCATGAGAATATACTCTGCACTAGTGTCTATATTCTTTTGACTTTTGCACAATACAGTGTTTCTGTTACCCCATTTCTTCAAAATAATAGAGCTGACTCTAATGATCTTTTTCCAAGTTAACTTTAAGGCATGCATAATGGAATGTTTCTTTTATGCTTTAGCCTTAATTTGCAAATTATTTATGTATATATTAATTTTTAACATTATTTTTGCTTGAAATACTTTGTTTTCTTGCAATGTTTTGTTTTATTTAAATGTAATAGAGGATGATCTTTTGATTGGAAATCTTCCTACAATTGAAAAGCTTTGTGAGACACCACCAGGTATTGTATTCAAAGCAGATTTACATGTTAACTAATCATCCTAATATACTGCACCTAATAAAGTTGTACTTTTGAAACAAGTTTGTCCAGCTATAGTATCTGGCAGATACAAGTAGCCTGAAAGCTCAACTACATAGCAAGTTATATGTTGCTGAAATCACCAAAACTTGATGTAACTGCTTTTATATAACATAATCTTCTGTCTATCCCTTCTTCTCTGTCCCAAACAAACTGGAACTTGCTCTTGCTTCTTTGGTTTGTCAATACTACTTTCTTTCAAGTAGAGTGAATACTTTCATACTTTGACAATCATAAGACAAGTAGTAAAAATGTTTCTATACATACATGTAATACAGTTCTTTGAAAATACAGATGACAAAGGTAACTGTTGTAAAATATCTTTTTTTCATGACAGCCTTTTAGCCAGTATTAAAATTGTCTGAGTCATTGCTCCTAAACTGAACTAAAACTATTTGATGAGGTTTGTTTTCCCTTTTTATGACCAACAATGCAGTCTTTTATTCTACAGCTTGGCAACCTCCCTGAGTGTGTCACTGCAACTGTTTACATGTTCGTGTCAGTAGGTCTTGTGTCAGCACAGCTCAGGGGCTGTTAATGGTGGCTGGGGCAGAGACAGGTGGCAGGGTGTAGAAGTCAGCTTTGCTGTCACTGCTGAAGGTGCTATAACTGGAGCCTTGGGCTGAGCTGCAGCCTGAGATGCAGCAAGGCTCCCTTGACACAGCCTCCCTCTTGAGATCTCACAGCAGATGTGGAAGGCCCTGAAGCTGGATATTACTGCATTGCTTTGTCTCTTCAGCAGCAAGGCAACAAAACAATGGCTTACAGAATTAGGCAGTTATGTTTGTTTCAGTTTACTAGGTTTTACAGAAACACATAGATTTTGATGAATCAATGGGTGATAAACAGTGAGGGCAGAGCAAATTTGGGAGAAAAGCTGTCTTATTTGTAGTCCCTCAAATACATCTCAGAGAAATTTATATACTTATATTTGTTTGCTTTGGTGTTTCCAAAAAAAACCCTGAAAATAGTGTTGTTAATAAAATTCACTCTTCAGTCAAGAAATCAGTATTTGTCTTTTATGCATAAGAGTATCATTTATATATTTGCATAACTCTGCACTGCAGTTATCAATATAAACATATACACAAAGACATGATAAGTAAAAGATTTTAAAATATGCATCTGTAAACAATCTGACATAACACACGGTAATCACCTCCTGTCTGCTTGCAACTGTTTGTTCGTCCTTCGTAAATTGGGAGAAAAAGAAGGTAAAACACCCAGGCAACCATAGTGCCAAAACCATTGAGTGCATATTTTCACTTTAGGTGGAAAATACTTCTGGAATTCAATATTTCACCAAACAATTTCTGGCTACTGTTAACTCATTATTTTATTGCACATTTACTTCTTGAAATCGTGATTTCTAGATTCCTGAGATTATTGAGAATCACAACTTTTATTGGTAGGCTTCAGGGAGAAAAGGAAAACTTTGGAATCATGACCTGTGTATTGTCTGAAAGAATAAATAAACCCAACCTACTGTTCATACTGAGAAAATAAATACAGCAGTGTTTTGGAGTGAGCATCATAATATTTCATTCAGCTAAGAATTTCTGAACACCTGTGACTAGAGTATCACTTTCAATCTAAGGAGGACTCAGTGTTGCACTAAATGTTTTTCTTTCATGATGCTGAGAGTATTTAGAGCATTTTACTACCTTAGGCAAGAAACCACGATGAAGAGTAAGGTATAAGGTAGCAGAGTAAGACCAACTCCTGTCTTTCACTCTCTTGTTGTTACTACTTCTTTCACTTATCTCTGGATTTTAAGGTCTAGTATCTCATATTAGTCGCTGTGACTAACAGGACCTGAAGAACAAGGTCCTAGCTTCATTTTTGCTTCTGAAAGAGCTCACAAGGCACAGCCACTGTTTTAGAGTAAACAGAATTAGTTTGCTATGAGAAATATTATATTGAAGTATTTTGTTTCTGCCTTTTGGTATAAGAGAAAAATTCTCATTTTGCTCATGAAAAAGAAAGATTGTGCTTCCTTTGTGATAGTTAATATTATGTGATACAGGACATTTCAGCAGTGATATAAGCAGTGTAAGATGCCCTACACTGCTGTACTAATAAAAATATAGAACTTCCAGTATTGTCTTTTATATTTGGTACACATATAGAGAATTGGTGAAATGTAAAATCCTATGACAGCGGTTTCATTATTTGTACACATGCATTTCAGAAAGTCTTACCATGAGATCTGAGTTCATTTTTCTAGCTTTGCATTGGAACTGTGTTGTGTTGGCCAAGCATCTGTAAAGGCTTCTCCAACAACTTCTGCTTGGGAACCTTTGTTGTCGGAAATAATTAGAAGAATGTTTAACAGATAACTTATAATGCATAATATTAATGTATCTGCATTTAAGCTCATGCATACAGTAAGTGAATTCTTTGCATTTCCATAACCATTTTATCATACATTTTTCCATACAGTAAGCATACAGTAGGGATTTTTTTAAGTATTCTAGTCAATGTCTGATTCCCTTTGGATCTGTTTATTTCACTTTCACCAATAGCTATTCTAATGATGTGTTCCTTTGTCTCACGTATTTTCTTGTGTCTGTCCATTTACATAATGTCATACTGATAGTCCTGTTTCCTTAGGCTGCGAAGCAGTGTTTTGATGGTATGATTGTATTGTACTATGTCTGTATTTTTTTCTACACACTTTTCAAGTAATACTTCAGATGCTACTGTAACCTTGATAGCAAAAACCTCTTGTGAAAATTACAGATGTAGTCAACTGTTCTGAAATCTATTGTTAAGCTTTTTGAAAATTAAACCTATACACTGTATGTATTCTAGGTGTTTCAGGTGGTCCCAGCCCTGTCAGCCTTGGAAACCAGGACACCTTGCCTGTTGCAGTAGCCCTTACTGAATCTGTAAACGCCTACTTTAAAGGAGCAGATCCCACAAAGTTAGTTAAATAGTGAATTGTTTTGAATAATAAGTGACAGTAAGAAAACACACTGGGTTTACTTGTAATATTTTGGGAAAAACTTTTAGAAGGGGAATTCAGACGGTTAGTTGTTGGGTTTGGTTTTGGTTTTTTTTTCCCTGATATAAGTGACAGTAGTGACTTACTGCTCTGTATTGGCTGGCATCCCACTAGGAGTTCGTATATCCTTGCTTTACAAAACTGTGTTCAATGAGAAAACTGAAAATGAGAAGGGTTTTTATCATAGTCAGGTAGGCGCTAGAAGTAAATTTGGCCAGCTGAAAGCCTCTCATTCCATCACATCCCTTGCTATGCTACTTAGGCCTTGCCTAAGCATAGCAGTGCCATGTTTACAAAGCCTAAAAAACATCTGCAAAGACTACTGTATGCTTTAACCAGCTAAAGTTTTTTCTTATTTCATCTAACTTTCAAGCTGAAAGTGACGCTATGCTGTCACATTACCCTCATTTGAAATTGATTTTCTGTTTTTAGTTTAGATCATCAGATTTTGAAAGTACAGTGATTGCTTTAAAATTAGTATTAAAGCTAGGCAGAACTGAGTTGCAATGAAACTGATGTTTTCATTGTTTTCTAGATGTATTGTGAAGATTACTGGTGATATGACGGTATCATTCCCAAGTGGGATTGTTAAGGTATTCACCAGCAACCCATCTCCAGCTGTGCTCTGCTTCAGGATGAAGAACACAAGCAAACTAGAGCAGATACTTCCAAATGCACAACTTGTATACAGGTTTTGTATACTTTTAATAAAAAAGTAAACTACATGATTTGTAAAATGTCAGTTATCTATGTAAATTGGAATTCTCTACAGTCTTGTTGATTTGCTTATACATGGTTTCATTTCCTGAATTAATCGTATTCACCTCAGTTCTCTCCAATGCCACCATTAAAAAAATCTTAGTGAGTATTTGACTTGAAACTTGTGCTGAGTGTAACAGGAGCTGTAAAAAAAATAGTTTGTAAATGCTGCTGGGTTTACATGCATTTTATAAATTTTTCTTTACACAGTAGTAACAGTGGTAGGATTAAATGATGAAACAGTAGCCTTACATGGAAGACAAGTAGTAAGAGCTACACCTAATCTCAGTCATCATCTACTTGCGTATTTTTAGAGATGTATAATTTCTACACTAGATTGGATGCATTATATAGCTGTATTTCTCAAGTGTTTAGCAGCACACTTGGGAGAATTCTTAAGAAAAAAGGGTGCTGATTGTATAGGATAATTGTTGAAATCACAGCACTCAGAGCTCTTAAAAAATTATAAAAGTTCAAATTATTTAGCAGAGATCTGTTTCAGCTAAGCAGTATCTAATTTATTGAAGAAAATATTTGAAAAAGTTAAATGCTTTTTGATGTTACATTTTTTAAATTACTAAAAGAATCAAACTGTACGCTTCCATTCTTTTGCATTTAATTTCATTTTTATCATTCATATGTAATGAATGATCCATACAAAATTAATCACTCTTTGACATGCTAGTTTATAACTGAAATGGTAGCACAGCTGTATCAGACAGAGTGAGATATACAGGAAAAGTAGATTTTAAAAAAAGTGAAAGTGTCTAGTATTATTTAAGTGCTGTAACACTTCGCCTCTAATTAGAAAGGATACATATAATGGATATTTACAAAGTTAAACTCATATAGTAATATTTTGACTTTTTATCGTATACTGCAAAGGATTTAATTTGCTTGGTATTTATGGAGATTAAAGTTTTTAATGAGAGTGATATTTCTATTTCTAGTGATGTCAGAATTTCTCGTTTGAATTGCACTTGTTTGTGGAGCAACAGAAACGTTTTACTACTAGTTTCATTTATTTAAATGTGGAAGGCCTCTTTAGTGATAAGTGTTCATATTTTTTACTGAAAATGGAAATTTCATTAATCGCAGTAGTGTATCAAGAAGCAATATCTGAGTAAATTGGACAGACTACTGGTACGTAAGTCACAGTTCTAAGACATTCAACCCACTGCAGTCATATTTACTATGTTGTAGATACTCATTGTCAGCTATCACTCTGCAGACACACTGCATTCCTTAGGAATGGATGCAGTTCTTCACTGTATCCACAGACAATCAGAAGAGGTCTTTGGTTCTTAAGTGATTTAAATCTGGGGTTTTGAATCAGTTTTCTTAAATGCTTCATCCTTATTCAAAATCAAACTGATGCAACCAGAGCTGAAAATATTCTTGATCTGCAGAACACCATGTTCCAGTAGCTTCCAAACAGCTTCTGCAATCATGTGCACTCTTACCTACATATAGAAATGATACAATAAAATATTAGTAAGATTGAATGCAGCTATAATTATCTAAGAAACAACTGATTATAAGAATTTGAAAATCACTTTTAATTAAAAAAAAACTTTGAAAGCTTACATTCTCTAGAAATATATGAAAGTATGGTAAGAGACACGGCACAAATCTTAATTCGGTACATTAGTGAAGCTATGTCATATCCCAGACCAGTTATAATTTTAGGATTTATTCCAAATTGGATAACATTCCTTTTCAAATATCACTTTCACCCCCACGCCCCACACATCCTCACAGCACCTAGTTGTATTAAAATCGTGGTTTATTAGAAGTAAAATCCAAATTCAGCATGAGCTCCATCTTGTGATGTCGATCATCAGTGGAGAAAACTCACACTGCACCACACACTTAAAGGAGAATTTTTCTATAACAAGCAGTTAATTTGTCTTAATATTTAGAAAGATACAGTTATGTATTAGAAAGCATTAGAGCAAATTCTTGCTTAAATAACAAAGAAAGGGAAGGATCTAATCTCCCATTTTTTTAGACGTACAAATAATAAAACTCAGTGTTGCCTTCTGACTCCTACCTTTCTTTTTCATTGTAGTGATCAGTCACAAAGTGACTCCAGTACTATGGATTTCTGGATGAACATGCAAGCTATAACTTTCTACCTCAAGAAATTATCAGATCAGAATCCATCTGCATCCTATTACAATGTGGATGTTTTAAAGTATCAGGTAAACGCTTTTTTTCCTTGGGAATTTTTTAAGGAATTCTGGTAGATTTGATAATACACAGGAATTAAAAGAATCATTCTTTGCCTGCTAGCATGCTGATGAACTGTCATCCTTCATCTAGACAAATTCTGAGTATACCACTGTGTAGAGTGCATAGGCTCTGTCCAGTCTTAGTGCATTCCTTCCTGCTTTGTGTCATTCCCTTGGATTTGTGAGCTGTTTCAGCTTGCTCTCACATCACTCTCAATTCATGTGTGCAAGGGTCTAAGACTGCTTTTGTATATATTTGTTGGCAAAGTCAAATTCTCCTTGAATTTAGGGTTTTGATGGGGAGTTATCTGAGTTTGTAGTTGTACTGCCTTTGATTTTTGTAATTTCATAAGTTTTGGGTGCTATAGTTGATGAATCGTAATATATGAGAACATACAACTTTCCGATCTCTCACAATATAATGGAACATTTCATCCTGGAAAGCATTTACAGGCACACAAAGGACAAGAAGGACTTCAGGGGTATTCAGCATGAATTTAGCAAGGGAAAGTCATGCTTGACCAGCTTGATAAACTTCTATGATGACATGACTGTGATGAGGGGAGGGCGGTTGATACTGTCTGCTTCAGGAAGGTGTTTGACAATGTCTCCCATAGCATCCTCATAGAAAAGTTGGTGAAGTGTGCACTGAATGAGCAGATGTTGAGGTGGATTGAAAACTGGCTGAACAGCCAGGCCCAGGGAGTGACTGTCACTGTTGTGAAGTCCATCTGGAGACCAGTAACTAGCAGTATGCCCCGGGGGTCAGTACTGAATTTACAATCCTGCTTAACAGCTTCATTGATAATCTGGATGGTAGAGCAGAGTATACCCTCAGCAAGGCTTCTGATGACACAGAACTGGGAGGATGACCTGGATACTCTGGAGGTCATTCTGCCCTCCAGAGGGACATCAGCTGGCTGGAGAAATGAACTGACAGGAACCTGATGAAGTTCAACAAGAAGTACACCTGGGGAGGAGCAACCCCATGCACTGATATATGCTGGGGCCCACCCAGCTGGAAATCAGCTTGGAAGTAAAAAGACCTGTGGGATACCATATTGAACATGAGCTAACAATGTGCCCTTGCTGTAAAGGTGGCAAATGGTCTCTTGGGCTGCATTAGGCAAAGTACTGCTAGTAGGTCAAGGGAGGTGATCCTTCCCCTGTACTGAGCACTGATAAGGTCACACCTGGATTACTGTGTCCAGTTTGGGTTGTCCATTGCAAGAAAGGCATGGACATACTGGAGAGAGTTCAGTAAAGGGCCACTAAGATGATGAAGGGTGTGGAGCACCCCTCCTATGAGAAAAGGCTGAGAAAGCTGGGACTGTTCAGCCTGGAGAAGGCTCACAGGGGATCTTATCAGTAGTACAAAGAACTGACATGAGGGTACATAGAAAACAGACACGCGCTTTTCACTGGTGCCCAGTGACAGGACCAGAGGCAACAGGCACAAAGAGAAACACAGGAGGTTCCCTCTGAACATCAGGAAATATTTTTTTCCTGTGAGGGTGACTGAGCAATGGAATGGGTTGCCAGAGGGGTGGTGGAGTCTCCATCCTTGGAGATACTTAAAGGCATTTGGACATGGTCCTGGGCAGCTGGCTGTAGGTTGCCCTGCTTCAGCAGGAGGGTTGGACCAGATGACCTTTCGAACCTCAGCTGTTCTGAATCTGTGAGATGTTCTGGCTGTCAGTAAAAAATCTTTGTGAAAATTCAAAATAGACACCTCAAAGGAAGAGAGATTTGCTAGGCCTGCACTAAAATGGTTGAACATCTGGGGCAACTGTCCACATCAAAAACCAAAATAACCTGTCAGTCCAGCTATTAATACCATTATGGTTTCCAAATTCTCCCAATATAGTTTAAAATCTTGGCATACTGAATCTATAAAAAGCATGTTAGACACACAGAATTCCTGAGAAGAAAAATGGAAGGAACAAAACTTTTCTTCAGATAGCAGAAATGAGTACTGTGGAAGAATACTATGACTTTAAGATCTTTACTGTCAGGGGAATATGATGCATTGGCATGCGGAAGCCGTGGCAGATAGAAAAGTTTCTGGGCTGCCAAGGAAAGGTGAGAGGGGACACCAGGACAGAGAAAGGTCCTCATGTAGATTAGGGAGATGATGGAGATGCAGCAGGGGAGTAGCACAAGCTCAGCTAAAGAAGCAGCATCCAACCCTTCTACTGCAGGAAAATAATGCTTTCAATACTTAAGAACTGTTTTGCTGGCTCCCTATCCCATAATGACAGGTATTGATAGCCCTGTGCTGCTGGCTGCTTGGACATTGAATTGGTATGGCACACAAGTGCTAAGGATGAAGTCATTTTGCCACAAGCATGCTTCACATGTGAGGCAGAACACAAGACTAAAACAAAACTATTTTGACTTAGAATAGCCAGGAAGGAGCCTCACAGACCAGAAAGCATTTAAACCTTTTCTTTAAATATTCATAGGATCATAGAATGGTTTGGGTTGGAAAGGACCTTAAGATCATCAAGTTGCAACCCCCACTGTCATGGGCAGGGATGCCTCACCCTAGACTGTGTCACCCAAGGCTCTGTCCAACCTGGCCTTTAACACCGACAGGGATGGAGCATTTAACACTTCTTTAGGCAACCTGTTCCAGCACCTCACCCCCTTCACAGTAAAGAACTTCTTTCATATGTCTTACCTGAAATTCCTCTTCAAGCTTAAACCCATCACCCCTTGTCATACCACTACAGTCCTCTTTGAAGAGTCTCTTCTCATTTTAATTTAAAAGAACAAGAATTAACTTTAGGCTGCAAGTCTTAAGAATTGTGCAATTAAGGACTCAGAGATCAGTTGTTCTCTTGATCTTTTGCCGGATTTATTACTATCATTCCTTAATTATGCCAAAGAGGAGAATTCCTTAATTAAGCTACTTTCAATGGTTTATTCTTTCACAGGTATCTTCAAATGGCATCCAGTCCACTCCCTTGAATCTTGCAACTTACTGGAAATGTAATGCTAGCACTACTGATGTTAGAGTTGACTATAAATACAATCCAGAGTCCATGAATATGCCTAGCATGCTGTCTAACGTCCAGGTTGTGGTACCAGTAGATGGAGGAGTAACAAACATGCAATCACTTCCACCTGCAAAATGGTAATATTAACACTTTTCAGTATTACTTCAGATTCATTTCAGTGTATTCATTAATGTCAGTCTGAAAATTTTCATTGAAACAGCTATTTTTTTTTCTCTTGATAAAATGTGTAATATCAGATGCTTACAGATCATGTGCAGCCAATTCACATAAACTGAGCCAATATGCACCTGTTCTAACCATGTAATACAAGCCTTTATGAAATCTCCAATGTTTGCTTTCTTTTGGCTAATAGAACAGACATTTTTAATACAGTAATTTGAAACCAAAATATCTTAATGCTTAAAAAGCATTGTGTGTGTGTATAAATATATCCATATATTTGGATTATATAAGGAGATTAGGAAAAAAAAAGCATTTCTTAAAAAGATTACTTGATTGTTCTGGCTTAAAAATCAGCTTTTAATTGAAATGGTTTTAAAACAAACCTCAGTAACTGAGGAGCAATTCATAAGCCAGGTAGCATTCTCTTTCAGTTCAAGCAGCATACAGATTATTGTCTGACTAGCAACTATCTGCCATTGCCTTCTAAGCCTGCATACACAGTAGCCCCTGAAAGTGAGACACAGATCTCAGGTAATTATGCTTCTACAAGTCTGTGAAAAGAAGAGGGTGGGACTAGGCAGGGCAGTACAGCTGTGGAGCAAAAGATGAGCAGAATTCAAGCACTGCACCTGCAGCTTAGCAGCATATAGGTACTTGCCCAGCTGTAATGTAATTCCTGGGCTGTGTATTTCCAAGAGGGTCTTTTTAACATGAAGAAGGTAAAGAATACCAGGTTGAAGGCATTTCACTTTGACTGCAAGGCCTTGTTAACCTTGTTACTTACAGATCAGTTTACCTTATAAAGCAAGGTTCAGAAGGAAAATAAACCTGATCCATTTGTTAAATGGGTTATGATACTTCTGGAGGCAATACATTTAAATGTATTAATTGAACAAAGCAGTAATCCAATATCACTTTAAGTCAAAAATATCCTGGCCAGACTGAATCTTTCTTGACTTGGTATTTTAAGGGAGCAATACTTTAAATCAAATCACTGTTAAAGATTATTCTGAGTAAGGGCAGGTTCAGTATCCTGCCTGAACAACATGACTAGAACATCTGGTGAAGCCAATCTCCCTGCCCAGGCTTCTTCCACAAAACCTTCTGTAAGGAAGCCTGAGTGAGAGCAGGAGCACCCACCTAGAACACCTAGCGTTAGCTAGGAAGACTCAATGACAGTTTCATTACAGATTCATCAGATGAAGGCACATGAACTCAGATTCTCTGTTTTGCACAGGCAACTCCCCAAGGGTAGAATTTTGAGCCTGGCAAGCTGACCAGGAAAAAAATTAGTTATGTCCCAGCAGCTCCAGTGTTGTGTTGGGCTGCGTGTTTGAGGGAGTGAATTGGTAAGGTTTGCGGGGGGGGGTGTTATAACTGGAGCATGTGCAAGTAACCACTATAATCTGTGCTACTTGCGTGAGCATTTCATTCCTGCTGCACCAATGCCAAAAGCAATTTCAAGCCTATCAGCACTTCATGCTGCTTGCAGTTTTAAGTTGTTGACTTTTTCTTTGGCGGAACTGCAGCAAAATGCACCAGGAATTAAAATGCTGTGTGCTTGGTGCCCTTTTCTGCCCCTTTACAGCATCAGGAGTTAGCTTAAACCCTGTTACACCAACCAGTTTTACTAGAATGGAAATGGTATAAAATTAATGCTGCCAGGAGTCTTACATAGAGAAAGGCAACCAGCATGGCTTCCCCTCATAGCGTCATCATGAAGCATAAAGACATAGCTTTCAAATTACTTCAGTGGGTTTTGGCCTGTCCTTACCCTTTGAGGTTACAGAGGGTTTTGAGTTGTCAAGCCATAGATGGGGCACTAGGCAGTCTTAACTATGTAAAAAAGTGGTGTGTACTTCTGAGTGCTGCTGCTCTGGGGTAGTAGAAACACACCTTTCTTTTTTCCTGATTGCATTATATAGTTTTCCACAAACTTATCTAAAAATTATTAAGCATTTTTGTAAATATCCATTTAATGATATCTGTAAGATACCAGTGTAAATCTAGAGAAATAACTTACTAAAACTGGTGCTTATAACTAACATACTGTTCTTCTACAGGAATGCAGACCAGATGAAAGCATATTGGAAAATATCTAGCATTTCAGAGAAGTCTGAGAACGGAGGCAAGTAGAACTCTTGTTTTGCTTTCTTGTACGGGAAAGTTACAACAGGAAAAAGTTGATCAGCTTTAGCTTCTACACCCTCATGCCTGTTCACACATCTTTTCATGCTGTATGCTGTTTACCAGTTCACCTTCTCAATCAATCTAACAGTGAGATATCAAAATGTGAATTTATTAATTAGTTGTAAAGGAAAACAAAAAGATACAAAAGTCCTGTCCTGAGATAACAACAGATGATTCTTGATCAGCATTTTGAGGGTCTTTGTTTTGACCATATATGACTCCAAGAAAAAAAATGAATCTATGCACATCTGCTCAGAGTGGTAATTTATGTAGCATTTTGTAAGGTATCAAGAGTTGTCCTCTGCCCAGCTGCCTTTCCCTGAGGTCCAGTTGATGTTACAGCCCTTGCAGCCTCTTCAGATGCATTTTTTTTCTGAATCAGAAAAACAGGAGCTAAAAGGAGGTATCTCATCCCCAAGGCCTCTGTGGAGAAACGAATTCAGGGTGTAAAGGAAAGGCTTTCAGCCCTGTTAAGAATTTAATGAAGGCCATTATGAAATCATAGATTTGCTTTTAAGTATGACTGGTTTCATACAGAAATCATCACAAACCTGGAAAGGGAGGACTTCTATGCCTGCAAAGGCTGCAAAGTTGTGGTCAATGATTCAAACTAAATCAAGAGAGAATTATTGCTGTAGCCTGGTGTCTTTTGTCCTTCAGTGACCTTGCAGTTCTGTCTTCCACTATGGTTACACATGGGTAGTCCTCTTTTTCTCCCTTTTCCAAACTGTGGAGCTTCTTTTAAAATAAGTCATACTAAAACACAAATGCAGCCCGAGGAAGAGCTATTGTGCACCTGCAGAGCAACATAGAATGTGCCGCTTAGCGATGCGGATTGCACCTTGCATATGTTCAGTAGATCTGCACCCCAGTGCTCCTGCTATATTCCCTTCTCTTGACACCATCTTTCTTTTCCTTTTCCTTGAATATAAACACATAGTACTCACAATTCAGAGTTGAAGAGGAAGTAATACTGTGCTGGTCTTAGAGAAACAAAGGGAGAAGTTGCACAAACATTTTTAATATTAGGGCAAATATCTTGAAGTCATCTTTATTCTGGTATACAGGGTGGTATGATGTTTTGGGATTTTTTTATGGTCCAACACATTATGTGAGCTCTCAAGTGGAGATGGAGATAAAAACAAACTTTCAAATCACTTGAATATATCAGTTTCTATACTTCAAGTGGAAAGATGAGCCAATTTATCCAAACTATGACCTACTGAAAAAATAAAGTGGACCTTAAGCCAAATTTATCAACAAGTCATGGCATAAAACAATTCCATTCATTAATTCCCACTTTTAAACCAGTAATACCTCAGTTACTAACTTTACTCATCATTTAGCAGTTTCTGTTGCCTGCAAATAGCAAGTTGTTTTAAAGAAGCAAAAATAGTTTATTTTTGTTATTCCATTGTTAATTATTTAAATAAATATAATTTTTGCCCAGCAGATATTTCAAGTAATAAGTGATTAGCAGGCTGATACACACATCATATATATATAATCTTGCAGATGTGTGTCATTTCTCTGTAAATTATTCACTAGTCATTGTCTTCAGTATTGCTTAGGAAAAAACATATTTGCTCTCTCATCGCTTTTGAACATTTATGTAGGACTGCCATTAGGAATAGATTTCAGTGGTCATCACTTTAGTTTCACTTCTAATACTAAAAATTTTGAGAGATCATCTTGTTCTTGCACAACAGCAGCTTTTCAGTTTTGGTATTTTATAGGTTCTGGATCCCTCAGGGCAAAATTTGAAGTTTCAGAAGGACCCAGTAAACCAGCAACACTTGCAGTGCAATTCATTAGTGAAGGAAGCACCCTTTCAGGAGTAGATGTAGAGCTCGTAGGCACTGGCTATCGGCTGTCCCTCCTCAAGAAGAGATTTGCCACTGGTAAGGCGCTGACATGCTTATATATTCATAATGGATGTTATATATTCTGTAGTGTTAAATTACAAAATATGAAACTGTTAAGTGGTACATAGTTACTCATCGTTAAAACATGGCTGAAAACTGTCTCACAGGTATTTTGTTTTTCCATAGTTGCTCAGACTGCTCCCCAGGAAAATACTGACAAAATCTGTTTTATCTACTGACAGCAAAAAAACCTACGTTTATTTTTCAGGACGTTACATGGCAGACTGCTGATGTACCTGTGAAAGTCTTTGGATCAAAGGAGTGCAAGAAGCTCACTCTGCCTCTACCTGTTAAACACTATTTTAGCACGCATTACTTTTTTCAAAATGTTGACCTGCTTTGAAGCTGAACTACGGAACAGAAAATGCACTTTTAAAAGTCATTTTGCAAACTTTTTTTACTTTAAAATAGCACTGAAGTTAACTTCAACACTGTCTGTAAATGATCAACTGCAATATTTGGGAAAATTTGTTGAAATTTTAGTAAATTTATACAGATGAAGTCAAAATAGTAATCCATAGTTGTAATATGAAATCGTATGTTATACTGTAAACATTAAGCCTAAAAATGTAGGAGAGGGAGTAAGAAATATTTGAGCTTTCCATAAGTAATATTAATTTTTCAGATTCTTAGTTGCCAGTTTTTTGAAGAAAGAAGAGGCAAAGTCTCTTATAGTTCTTTTATCTACACATGCCACAAAACCAGCTGAGTTTGAGATGTATAAATGTAACTTGATGCCCACGTATCATATATTATTAACATGTAAGTCATTTTATATAGTTTTTTTTTCCTAAGTGCAATGTGTTACAAAATTGCAAAAGAAAGCAGAGATTTACTTCTGCAGTTAGTAAATTTTGTGGGTGTTGTGATTGTTTGAATTAATGCTGTAGATTTAATTTATTTTTCTATGAACTGCATAACATTTGTGCCTTTTAAAAAAAGCCGGTGCCTATCCAATTTGTTATTCATGTGCCTCACTTCCTTTTACAAAGTTCGGCTCTTCATCAAGAAAGCACAGAGTTGCTATAATACAGACAACTTTATAAAAATTCTTTTGACTGGGATTTATTTAGAAGGCAGATTTGCAAAAACTGGAGATTATTTTAAAAGAGGCTTAAAATACTGGATTACTTCCTCATGGGGTAATTGCAATAAATGTGACTGTAGTAAAGGGAGATGCACCAAGCAGGACTTTGAAACTTTGAGATAGTAACTTTAATGTTACCAAAGACAAGAATACTGAAAAATCACTGAAGATGGTAAAAGCAAACAGCATTTCTCTTCACTTTGACTGCAAGTCTTTGTACTTTGAGTGCTTTTGGGGATGTGATTGTAACATAGTACTTTAGGAGGAATAGCATTTTAGAATTGTATTTCTTGGCAGCAGGATAACAAGTACTGCTATTTGTATTAGGTAATTTTTTTTCTATAACCACCAATTTTAATATGTGTATTGTCATCTAGTCTTGACATTCCCACAGCCTAAGCACAGGGAAGTGACATAGTAGTCACTACTTCATAAAATCTTTTATGTATTTGTATTATTAAGAGTTTTTTGAGTGCTGAAATCAAAAGTATTGGGGCAAAATAATTCAGTAACCTGCACGTGGGAATTTTACATTACCATTTTGAATACCAGTATCTATTTCAAATTCTCTATTAAAACAATAAAATGTGTTTGAATTAATTTATGCAAAACCAGTAATGAATTGGATTGCTGAGGCAATCTTTACAAGAAATTAAGCTTTGTAGAGGCTACATAAATGCTAATGTATACTACACACTTGCAGATGAGAGTTCCATTGCTAACATGAAGTACATACTGTACTGTAGAATTGATTGGAAGAGTGTATTTGGCTCTTAATTTGCTAATCTTACTGAAAGGTAAATTTCTAACTCATAAAATGGTACAGTCTTTTTACTGGAATCTTAACTGTAATCTGCTTTGCAGTCAAACCATAGATAACATGACTGTTTCATTAACGAAAACCCAAAACTGTATTGCTATCCTTAATCAAGTATTACTTTCATTTCTAAGTTAAATGAAGTAGTTATATTTCAGCACTTTTAAACTAGCCTTCATTCAGGTGATTATACGTACATTTACATTGGGTGCAGGTTACAATTTTGAAGCCATACAAATTTGTTTAAACATTTTGTAAAGACATTCAAAACCAATGTAAAAAGTACATGTAGCTATCTGATGAAAAGAAACATATGTAGCAAGCTGGTTCTTGCTTATGTATACAGCAATATCCATTGTAGCTGCCTCCTAAGAAAATTAGTTTGTAAACACAACTCTAAAGGATCTGAATTTTTATGAATTGTTACTTCGTCAGACTGTAAATTAGAGCATACAAGCTTGTCTTACAAAAATTGTAAATACTTCTGACTTTTCATAAAATGTAAATTAAAAAAATGCACCCATAATAAACATGTAATATATAACTTAAATGCTTTATATTGCCTATACTTTTGCAGTTAGTCCCGCACAGCTACTAAGAAGTAAGATAACAGAACAAAACTATGCCTGTATTGAACATTCTGAAAGTGTTGATTTGACTCTTCAAAAGGGACTGTAGTGACAGGACAAGGGGTCATGGTTTTAAACTTAAGGAGGTGAAGTTCAGGTTAGATATAAGGAAGAAGTTCTTTACTGTGAGAGTGGTGAGGCACTGGAACAGGTTGCACAAGGAAGTGGTAAATGCCCCATCCCTGGCAGTGTCCAAGGCCAGGTTGGACAGCGCCTTAGGCAACATGGTCTAGTGTGAGGTGTCCCTGCCCGTGGCAGGGGGGATGGAACTGAATGATCTTAAGGTCCTTTCCAACCCAACCCATTCTGTGATACAATTTTTAGATGATATGGGGTAGAGATAATATATGACTTCTTTTATATACATAAATCAGAAAAGGTGGGTGGAAAGATGACTTCCACAGAGTTGCATTTTTACTAAACTGGAATGCCCAAGTCATTTGCAATGGCTAATGGCTCTACTGAGTTGATATGCTTAAACTAATAACTTAGATTAGGCAAAACTGCAGATATGTTTATCAGAAAAATCTCAACTTTGTAGACATGAGCTGCTCTCCTTAAATAATATTATCAAATGCTGTACATTCCCTAATTTCCTTAATAAGCCTATGTTTTGTTGAATGCACAGGAAAAAAATCAGTGGCAAGATAGAAGTAGTTCTTTCTGATTTCTTATTTTCCACCAGTCTGAAAAAGTAGATCATTTAAGTACTACTTGATCAGTCTCAGAACACTCCTTCTAAGCTGCAACCACAGAAACAGAAGTTGAAACTGAGCAAATGTGTCTGAATTGGTTTCCTTCCTCCTAACCCCACAGCCTGTGTAAGTTTAGTCAGCAATGACTTATTAAATTGACTTTCTCAGATGGCTGGATATCACTGCAATAAGTACCATTCCTGTCATACTGGAAATTAATAGTCCAAGAGCTTGATTCTTATCTTCTGCTGGAAGGCAAGAGTGAAGAATACAAGTGCTTTACAGTCACACAAAATCATAGAATGGGTGGGTTGGAAGGGACATTAAAGATCATCTGGTTCTAACTCCCTATCACAGGTAGGGACACCTCCCACTAGACCAGGTTGCTCAAAGCCCCGAACAACCTGACCCTCATGCTTCCAGGGATGGGGTAGCAGTAAGTGCTCTGGGCAGCCTGTTCCAGTGCTTCATCATCCTTGCAGTAAAGAATTTCTTCTTTATATCTAAACTAAACCTACCCTCTGTCAGTTAAAAGCCATTCCCCCTTGTTCTGTCACTACATGGCCTTGTACCTCTCCAGATTTCTTTAGGTAGAGGAAGCTCCTTTAAAGTCTCTCCAGAGCCTTCTCTTATCCAGACTGAACAAACCCAGCTCTCTCAGCCTGTCTCCATAGCAGAGGTGCTCCAGCCCTCTGATCATCTTCATGGCCTCCTCTGGACTCACTCAAGCAGGTCCACGTCTTGGAGCCCCAGGGCTGGATGCAGTACTGCAGGTGGGGGTTTCATGAGAGCAGAGTAGAAGGGGAGAACCTGTTAGTCATGCTCCTTTTGATACAGCCCAGGATATTTATGGTTGGTTTGGAATGATCCATCTAGCCCATGTGTCTTCACCAATGACCAGAGAACAGGCTATGCTATGGAGAGTTCACGCTCCATTTCCTTTCCATCTATCTCCCCAGCATCCTCAGTTATCAATTAGGGATGTAAAAGGCTATAAGGCTGCTCAGTTCTTCTAGTGTTCATTGAACCTAAAGTGTCAGAGATCACTTACTCTGGCACTTCTGTTAACATTTGACTTTTGTTACTGTATACCAGTGCCCATGTACTATTCACAACTACTATAAACTGGATTATACTGCCCAAGCAGGTTTGTGATTATCTAAGTACATGATCAGGTAGTTTTTCAGGGATAACTGACTACCTCTACCACTGCCAATTAATATTTATGTAGGGTATTTGAAGGAGCTAAGTTATTTGATTATCAACTGGAACAGCATGGGAGTTAAAACAATGGTAGATTTTGCTAAGTAGAAGGGAAGGTCTTGCAGCATGCCAAAAAAGATTACATTTCAAGTGTTGTGTGTTTGAGAAGCTTAAGATAGGTATCTTAATATCTGTGTACGCTTTGTTTTCTTGGAATTGCTAGATAATTGTTTCCATTTCAGTTGTCATGAAAGGGCAGTTTTACTTTAGAGCATGCAAGAAAAAACTCAGGAATTCCTCCAAGGATAGAGTAAGCTAAAAACAGTTCAAGGTACTAAAGCAGCAGATAACATATTTGCAAAATGTATTTTGTGGTGCCCTTGACTGGACCAATTACCAGGCCTCTTAATTGAAAAATTAATGTTTATCTTCAACTCTGCATATTATTACATGACTGAGTATTCCTTCTCAACTCAGTTTGACGTTACTGTTTGCTGACATGTTGATTTTTACATATGTTCGTCCTTAGTTCATTCAGTAACCAATAGAAAGTATACAGTCTTTAAAATATTCTTAAAAACACAAGAGGCCTCTTCTGGATTACTTATTAAACATATAATACTCAAATTCTGCATTTTCTGGAGCTGCTTTCACTTCCTTTGGAATTAATTCCTTCTGTTTTTAAATCTGGGATGTCTATTTAATTATTATAACTGAAAGTATGATTTTTGTTTGCCATTGTCCCAGATGTATTTCTTTTAAAAAGCCTTGTTCCTTAACTTGCCTTTTTTTTTTATTTTAGAACTGAGCTGTTTATTTTTTAAAAGTTAGGTTAATAATCAAAGCCATAAATCATGCCGACTTCACCATTCTGATTATGATTAAACTTTTCCTCTTACCATCACCCAACCTACCTTCTTGAAGTTCTCATTTCCTAAGTCATGTTTTCTGCTCCAGGAAGTTAACAGTGGTAATTGTGATGGCTCAAAATTCAGTGATGAGTCAACTCTTTCTTCATCGTGGTTAAATGAAGCAGCCCATTTTTAAAACAACTGCTGATTCTCCCCTCCAGATGTCCCCCCCATTGTAATGAGATAAACTCCTTATATAATACCCACAGCATTCCTTTCCACTTCCCACTCCTGTGACTGGCAGGTTATACGAATAGCCATCACCAATACAGAAGTAGTAAAGCTGCCCCAGTGTTAGTACTGATACGACACTGGATCCAGGCATGATGCACCAATAAAACTTGGGAGGGAAAAAAATCAAACCACACTAACCGAAGCTCAAAAACTCACCTTCCACTTGCTTTGCACCCTATTTTTCTGGAGTCTTACGGGATTGTGGATTTTGACAGAGAACCAAAGTCTGAACAGACACAACTTTTGACCTCTGACTGAGCACATCAGAATCCCTCGGCCTCTGTGTGTGAGTCCCTTTTTGTTTCTGAGCAGTTCCCAGATTGACAACACAGCCTAAGTACTTGAGCATGTGAGCACAGGAGAAGTGTTACAGTCTGTGATCTGCCACCTCTGGTGCTGACATCTCTCCGGTCTCACCAGTCTATTCCCTGCTCCTGCTGCAGCTTTTCTCCTGCTGCAATCAGAATTCCATGTTCTGGTAACAAGCAGTAGGCTGGCTGTCCACTTCTAGTCAGAAGATAGGATGATTTAATTTTATTGAAGGTCTAAAATGCAGGCAGTTGCTTAAGAATTGCATCTTGTATATCTAGGACAAGACACTTAACCTAAAACATTCTGTTACTCTGGCATAACTTCAGTATAAACTTCAAGGTAATATAACGCAAACACTACACTCACAGGAGGCAGAACAAGGAAATTACATGGGAAATTGGATGTGGGCTCCAGTGTTCCCATATTAAGGGGGAGAATATGTATTTTGCACAACTCTCAACTGAAGGAGTTCAAACTGAAAAACAAAAAAAGGGGATGGGCCATTACATCTATTCTCTTGGCATTTTGCAAGCTATTTGAGGAGATCCTAAACCATCTCAACTTGTGTTTCTCTGTTGTGTCTTTAATTCTATGGGAGGACACTCAGGACGTCTTCCCATTCAAGAAGTGCTGTCTTCATGTAGCTAAGAGCTACGTCTTGGCACTGCTGTACTCAGTGCTTACTGAACGTGGGTCGCACATGTCACTTAAGCATCTGCCCTTGCTTCCAGGCAACAGTAACTCCCCTAGAGGGAGAAGCAGGGAACCTATACCCTCATTTCGTGAGCTATGACTTCTCCAGATTGCTTAAGGTGGCAGCACTTTTTCCAGCTGAACCCTAAGAGATGCCACAAAAACACACATTAGAATTCAGAGGTTTTTTGGGAAATACCATTTAGCCTTTCCTGCAAGGGATCATCCAGCTTAAAACAGTCCTACAAGAACCTGGTTTTGGTCAAAGAGTAAAACTATAACCTGTGTTTCAGGAAGCAGTTTGTCCCCTGTGTTATACGCAGCAGCAGTGCAGTCTCCTGCTTCTCTTGCCACTGACAGTGAAAAGCAGCTCTCTTTGGCCTGCCACTTTCCTGAGTTAAGAATTACTCTGCTCTGATAATCTGCAGTACAGCAGCTGCTTTCCTCTAGGAGGGTCCTTAACTCTCCAGAAAGTCCCATGCTTGCTGACTGTGATCAGATTATGTGCAATTAATTTGCAGTGCCCTGTACTGAGCTCAGGACTGGAGGTCGGAGCATAGAGATTGTGGACAGAAATAAACTAAACACTCTCTGATGTAGTTGCCAAACAAAGAATCTTAAATTACACTTCATTTTAAGATGTCTGCCTGGACTGCACAACCAAATATTAGTGACAACTTAGTCACTCACCATTACTTGACTGCATTTGTTGTTTAGAACCAGGTTCAAACAGAATGGGCATGTGGTACCCAGAAAGCCAACCGTATCCTGGGCTGCATCAAAAGGAGTGTGATAAGCAGGTCGAAGGAGGTGATCCTGTCCCTTTACTCTGCTCTTGTGAGACCTCACCTGAAGTATTGTGTGTAGTTCTGG